CGCAGAGCACGAGCATTATATATACACCCTCATTTCCCCTAGATAGTTACACTCTCTTCGTAGCCAACTCATGTTAACTATTGGACTTATAGTTCTTAGTGACAAGTGACTTCTCATACCTCGTGTTCTTCCCAACCAGTTCATACTATTCAGATTGTTACTAGGAACCCTAACCCAGTTAGGCCCCAGTAGGATCTCTAACAATTAAGTAGTAACTTATAAACTAAGAAATACGTATTACTAACTCTTTCGAAGTCGTCTTATTACTATACTCTCTTAGAAGAAATACATTCGATAACTTATTGAATTCGATTCCGAATCTTAGGAGCTTTATCGTATTCGCGTAGTTAATAATTTAGAAGTATATAAGATAGACGAATTACGAAAAGAATTTACTCTTAGTTAGTTACGAAGATATATAACGATATTACGAATTCAAAGCTAAAAAGATAATTAACGTATTAAGCTTACTTATTAGATATATATTTAGACGATATATATTCGTTTATTTATATATAGCTAAAAAAGAGATCGCTTTATATCTAGAAGAATTAAAAAGAATCGCCGCGTCTTATAAAGATTCTATAAAGAATCTCGAATAATTAATAAAGTAATAGAAAGAAAAGTTTAGAACTATAAATTACTAGATTCTACTTAGTTATTCCGACTATAGAGCTATCGATATCTCGAGTAATACTCTTCGAAGCGCTCTACTAAGCCCTAAATATAACGAATAAATTAGTAAGTCTTTCATTAATATAGAAATTATAGTAAATCGAAAAGAATTATATATAAGATATACTATTATCTTAGACGCCGCGTTTCTTTTCTAAGTTAACTAATATAGAAACGTAAATGCACCGGTAAAATTTAAAGTTTAGAGAAATATTAACGATAATATAAGACGACTTATTATCTTCAACGACGACTTAATAGATAAAGAGTACTATTAGTTAATCTTTATAGCCGATGAAATAATATAGGTATACTTAGTTATTAATTTTATATAAGGTAGATTAGATACGACTAAGATAGTACTTAATTTCTTCGTTCGATAGTTAAGGAATAGCGTTTTTAATATTTTACCCCGGGAAATACGGCTAGAATTTAATCTTTAATAGAATATTAGTAGCTATAAGCTCTAAATAATTAAGAATTCTCTAACGATCATTAATACGGAAACTTACGAGACGACTCACTTATAAATTATCTTATCTAATACTTAAGTTAATATTAAGGATCGTTTCGCTATCGTCTTAGAAATCTATAAGATAGTTATACGGGAACCGAAGCGTAGTGAAGATCTAGAGATATTAAAGAGCTTAAGTTCGAAGAGATTAAATAAAAAATAATTAAATAACTTTATAAAGCGTTTAAAGAGTATAAAGAAGAGTTAATATTTCTAAGAGAATAGGCGAAGATTATAGTTAAGTCTTAAGCGAGGTCGTTAAGAAAGCGAGCGATAATGAGAGAGATATAATAGAAGAAGTTTAAAGTAGGGGATAGTTTTATGATTAGCTAAGGCGTCGACGCTAGACTAAGATTCTTCTTATATAGTTCTCGGGAACTATCATTCATAGAATAATTAATTAAGTTACGAATAGAGAGAACTTCCTTCGGCTGAGTGTGCGTGCTGTGAAGAGGCTATCCCACCGCCGTACGAGTTGATGCCCATGGCTAGTAGCCTCGCCCTAGTTCACTATTAGTGCTATTAAATTTATTTATAGTCGACGAATAGATTTCCTTTAGCGAAGTACTGGGTAAGTTTATATACGATTTATATATTCTCTAAGTTAATTAGCGATAGCGCCTTACTTCGTCTTACTACTATTCGAGAAGAAGATAATCTCGCCGTCGACGTAAAGTTAGATAAGTAATGGTTAAGATAAAGTTTAGATACGATTATGCTCTTCGATTTTAGTAAATTAATTACTCGAAGAGCTTCTAGTAAAGTAGTGAGGATAGGCTCTATCTACGCCCTTAGTTCTAGATGGTCTAGAGTTAGTTACTTAGATCTTAACCTCGCCGTTTTTCTAGTGTCACTGAACTGCTTAAAGTAGTTTCAATTGCTGGTGAAAAAATAGAGAGATTTATAAGCGTTGCTACTATTTGGCAAGCGAAAGCGTGATTCGTGAGTAATTCGATTGATTCTTGTGATGATGATGTCTGGGAACTGCTACAGAGCTATTAAGCTATTTGCCACTGCCAAGCCCCGCGTGCCTGCGCCTTCCGTGACACAATGTGAACTGTCAGTCTTGCACAATGGCCTCTCTGGAGAAGAATCGCGCTGGGCTTTCGAAGCAGGAACACGCTAGTTTCTCCTCTCGCGGCCACGATGACTCTACTGTGTCCACCTCCCATTGTCCTCACGTCTACCCACTCAATCACTTAGCCCGTCGTCGTTGTCAGCGCGTCGCTCAAAGTCTATCTACCCTCGTGCGCATCATCCGTTATTGCGGCTTGAGACAATCCCTCTTCCATCACTCGATCACTCCTCACTGGTCAGAATACCCTTTGACCCCATCAGAGTATGAGCTGCTGGAGAAATCGGGGAAGCGAGGTAGACTTGGGGATGGACGCTGACGTATGGATCCGTAGTTAATATAAGCAGTATTTGTGCTTTGCTGATGGAACCCCCGGTTATGACTATTCTGCTGCAGATGAGATCTTTGCGCTCAAAACACCCAAGTACGAGATCCACGAGGTTGTCCGGGGACAATTCATCGGCGAAATCGACAACTCGCTGCAGAAATTCTTGAAAACCAAGTGCTCCTCGAGCCCGACATCCCGCTTTGTCCAGTCTATCCGTGCCAAAGGATTCGCTACCATTTCTTATCCATGCCCCTTCCCAGGTCGAGGACAAGGGAGATAAGTCTGCCGTGACCCTGACTGGCAATGGGCTTTCGAATCTCGGATATATCCCAGCATCATTCTTGAGATTGCTCATTCGCAGACATCGAAGAACCTAGATCATCTTGCCACAGAGTACATCAGTGGCACAGCGGCAGAAGTCCGCAATGTCGTCGGCATTCAGCAAGGCGGCGCCAGGCGGACCAAGGAAGTGACGGTCAAGGTCTCGAAACACATTCACAACGATCACGGCGAAATTGCTCCTGTCGATGTAGAGCAGACTGTAGGTCCAAACCAATCCCACCACTTGAAAGTTCTATCCTGATTCTGTAATACATAGGAAATCCGATCCAAAAGCGGCCAGAAGAGAGAAGATACAGACGATCAAGTGGGCATACACCTTATGCTGGAAATTTTCGCCTATTGCCGGAAAGAGGACGAATACCCTGGGTCTGGTTACAAGATCTGTATCGGCATCGACCGGCTTTACGAGATCGATGAGGAAGCAGAGAGAGAGCTTACAGGGTTGGAACTGGAGGAGAAGGGGAACAGCACTCCCATCCGTGGAAAATACCGCCTTCATCTTTTGGCCCAGGGGGGCAACCACATCGGTATGGTCAGAGGTCTCGCGGGCGAGTCGATGTGTGAGAATGCTTTGGAAACGGTTTCAGAGACCGGGGGCGTGCATGATGTGCTGATGGGAATTGGTGTTGCGGTTCCTGGAGAGCACGCATACTGGCCACTTACTAACAACGCAATTTTGAGAAAAGATCTGTCCTATTTCTTTCATTCCCCTCTTTGCGTTAATGGGCATTGAGCCATGTGGTAGAGACAGGAGATATGCGATTTGTGCTTGTTTCGTTTTTTAGATCCCCGGACAACGCCGCTCTTTTGAATCCTCATCTACTCGCGAACCTTGTTCCAGCCCGTGTTGTTTGCCATCCCCATTATCCCAGTCTACTTGTCAGGGAGCAAGACAACATGGCCGATTTGTTCGAATCTCGCAAGATCCGAAAGAGCCCGCATCCTCGTCCGCGAACGTGTCATCGGGAAGCAACCAAGACGGGGCTCGCTCAGGTATTTCCGACAGTGCGCCGCCGCAGGAACGTGATTGATCTCCCGACACGGAAAAAAATGCAGAAGTCACGCACGTGGGTTCGCATTAATAGAGCCCCGGGTTCCGGAGCAGCACTCTGAGCTTGCTTCGCCATCCTGATGGGCAAAGTCAGCTGAGTACCAAGAGCCTTATAAATCGGTCGTACGACTCAGGAGAGCTCTCTTGGCGGGAATCCTCCGGGGTCCTCGGGATATAAGGGAGGGGTGCAAGCTAAGTCCAACCTTCCAAGATGAATAATATGAACCAGCAAGTCTCGCCACAAATATTCACCGCCGGAGAGAAAAAGCAACATCCATAGCGCACAAGTACAGATAAGAGCATGAGTTACTTGTTCGTCACTCCTCTCAGGACCGCGCCCACGAAGAATGCGAGTTAAATCGTCTGACAAATACACGAATTGTGATTGGTTCACCTCCGTCCTCGTCATTGAAGGAACGTGTTCGTGACGAACGACCACTGTTGTCGAGGCAGTGACAACGAAGCTGGACTTGGTGAATAGATCCGAACGTGCCCAAGCATGCCATATAAGCGATGGCCGAGCTCTGCGAGGCGTTGGATTCGTGGACCATCCAACTACGCGAACATGGACGAGTCCCCCATTCTACACAGCGCCAGTGAAAAGCACCGAAACAACAGCACTGTGCTCCGAGATCTGATCATCGGCTTCGCAGATGGGCTCACGGTGCCCTTTGCCCTTACCGCGGGATTATCATCGTACGTGGGATGGAGACGAGAGGGAGAAGATTTTGGCTCTTGCCCGTTGGACTGACATGTTGTTACAGCCTTGGATCCTCCAAACTTGTCATAACAGGCGGCCTTGCCGAACTCTTCAGTGGCTCCATCTCCATGGGACTTGGGGCTTATCTGGCCTCTGTCACCGACAAGCAACACTATGACACAGAGAAAACTCGGGAGCAAAAGGAGGTGCGGGAGTCGCCCGAAGAGGAGATGGAGGAGATATACCGCATTCTCTGTGCGTACGGCCCTCAGAGAGCAGACGTCGCCCCATTCGTCAATGCGATGAGATTGTATCCAGACCAATGGGTCCAGGTATGCTGCACACTGTCACCAGGGTAGCTGTCTAATCACACCGTGTTCCAGTTCATGATGGATTTCGAGTTGAAGTTGGAAGAACCTGATCGGCGTTCAGCGTACGTCTCGGCAGCGGTTATGGGAATTTCATACTTCATCGGTAATTCTCCCCTTGCTTTTCCTTCCCGTGCCCGGAAGCCGTCCAGTCCATTCTTTTGCTTGTTCTTCGACTGCCGCTAACGGGTTCTATCATCGCCAAGGGGGTCTGCTGCCCATGATTCCGTATTTCGCCATTCATCGCGCTACCCATGCTCTTTTTGTGTCGATAGGCATCACCGCCATTATTCTGATCGTCTTCGGTTATCTCAAATGCGCTTACGCCGGGTGTAATCAACGACAGTCGATCTGGGGCGCTGTGCAGACTCTGTGTATAGGCGCAACCGCGGCAGGAGCAAGCTACGGGATTGTCAGGGCGGTGGATTCGAGTAATATACATTGATGTCATATAAGTAAGACCAGACGACCAAAAAGCTGAGGTTTGGCGGGAAATAAAAAGATTCGAAGGATCCCCGAAATGAGATTTGGACGCCCTTCCGGCATTGTCAGGAGAGATCGCTGGTGGTCCGGTTGATCTGGAAACAAGTGGCAACCCAAACCAAGATGTCAGCCTTGCGGGATCAAAGCCAGTCACAGAGACCCCAGATGCGGTGCGAAACGGAGTTGAGTCAAAATTGGTACACGTGGTAATACCTGAACAGATTTGTTCAGCAAAATGTCCATCCGAGACATGGCGCTTCATTTCTGCGGAATGCGATTCGCCTCGACAGCCTCGGGGGAGAAAGTCAACTTCGAACTACCATCATCGAGGATGATGCACCAGCATCTATTGGAGCAAGCCTCTCTGGCGATCAAGCTGAAACCATTCATTCTCCCCTAACCACGGCATGGCATTCAACGTTGCTCAAAGAACTGCTGACTCTTTCATCAGCTCCATAATCGTAACTCTCCATCCTAGGGACAAACCCGAGGTGATATGTCGTGAATGACCTCTTGGTGATTCGAGGATCCGACGGTTTCTAACGGTTAAATATATGATTACGCATGTTCATGCTTGTTTAGAACTTATGGATGGCGCCGAGAATAGGCATCATGGTGAGCTGCCCCCATCAACACCATCCAAGATACCAGCAACGGAAGCTGAAAGGGCGTCCGTCGTATAGCTTCTGACGGGCTTGGTCAGCTAACGTGCCCTGAGGGGCAGTCTTCTCCTCACGTCGGTTCAGATACGACAAATATGTTTGCCAAATCACGGCAAAGAAGCCAGAGAAGGCAAATCGAAGATGCGCGGGAACAAGGGTGAAGTTCATTGCTGTGACGGCGGGCCAGAACTTGGCCGAGCTCACCACGCTTTCCGGCACGGTCGAAACAATACGGTGAATGATAACTGGTGGTGATTCGCCCGATAACATGGCTTTCATGCCGAAGAAATATGTGTTGAAGATGGGTGCAAAGAAAAATTCTTGAATGACAACTTTGACCACAATCGAGACCCATTTCGAGGCATAGTTGAAGTGGCTGCCCAAGAAGAGAAACCTTTGGACAAGACAATGTCAATGTTCTGCTCCACTCCTGATGCCCGGCTTTCGTCAGCTGCCCTACCATTTGTAGCCTGGTATAGACGCTAAGCTTCCCACTATGATCATCCTCAGCGTGCGCCGCCCGTCATATGGTTCTCCCCCAACCTCTTGCGCTAGCAGGTCACCGCAGAGGTATGTAGTTAAGGATGTCCCCAGAGCGATGCCCAGCGGCCTCCGTCGTTGTATCCGGCTGAATCAGGTGAAAAAGTCCTTGACAGGACCTAGACGGTGATACCAGAGCGGACTGGGGACGTCGATAACTGAAGGCTCGGTCGACTGTGGGACTTCCGTCACTACTTGGTTTGGAGTGTGAGGAGTTTTCTCCAGTCCGGCCGTCTTGACCTGGTCCTTTGTAAAGACATTCCTGCTGAATCGTCTGTGTCGAGGAGGGATGCCGCGCCGGCAAATGCACACCAGTCGCTGGGCCATCATGGCTGCCGAGGAAGTCGAGAAAGGTCTGCAAACCTCTGACCAATCGTGCTTTCACATGATAGGAAGCCAGGTCTCTCAGAATGAAAGAGCTTGTATACCCAGATTCTGGCCCTGAAAGACTTCGATTGCACTTACGTGAGGTTTGGAATGCAGGTCTCAATGGTGCAAGCGATCAAGGTCGAACGCTGGTGACGTTAGGAACGAGACAGGTGTGAGTGACGTCACCCAACAAAACAAAGCCCAAATGTGCCCAGCGAGCCAGATAGGCAGTTACGGAGTAGAAACACATGGGTAAATGGCATTTCAGGACGACATAGAGCACAGCTATAGTACACATGTGCTTTATGAAACACCCTATTGAAATCCTCAACCCCTCCATTTGGGTCTTCCTTACCCGGCGCCTTTGCGAGAACTTTCCCAACATCCTTTCCTCCAAGTACTTTCTTAGTCTCGTGGGCACCGTCGTCTGTAGAGTAAGCATCACTTTTCAGGTCGATCTGCCTTTCTCTGCTCATGCAATTTGGCTCGAAACCCCGGAGTCTGAGCGAGGGCGCTCTGATCTGGACCCTGCGAGTCTCTGTTAGGCTTGATGGAGCTAGAACAGGAATAGTGGTACAGAGAGAAGGGCAACTCACGATGCCCGCCATTTCCGTTCCACGCATCCGAGCGTCGGAGATGTTACCAGAAGGCTTGCCGTACTTTGTTTCGTAACGTTCCAATTCCTCCTGACGAATTTCATCTGCATCATATCCAATCCTAGGATCCACCTTGTTCAATGCTTCAGATTCATGCCTCGGGATTGCGCTGGTTCGACCAAAGGACGGCCCACCAAAGGCATTGGGTGCTCGGTCTAGCTCTTGGCCCTTGCCACTGCCTAGCTCGTCACTGAAATCTGCTCCTGAACATTGCTCATTTGACATTTCAAGTTTGTCTCTCAGGGCGCCTTGATCGGGCCCAATGCCAGACATCCCTTCGCTTCTAGTCACCTTCAACTTATCGAGAAAGGCAGACATAATGGCAAGTTGAATGAGTTCAGGACCCAGGTCGACTGCGTTTGTTAATCAAGATAATAGATATCCCCGTTGGCCGTTGCTACCTGACCTTCTCCATTGCATCTTCTGATGTGATCATCTCCAAGATATTTAAACACGTGCATTCGTCTGAAAACCCCGAAGACGTCATAAGGGCAAGGTGATTGTTGTCACTGCAGATGAACTGGGCCTTACTGCTGTTGATATCAACGCCATGGCTCCAATGGGAATGCTGCAGCAGCGTTCGCGGAGACGGTTTGGATTGGCTGTCCGCCGACCCTTTGATAAGCTTCGCAGCTCCTGTATGACAGTGCAGGACAGGGTTCATCAGGGGGTCGGACATGGTTAAAGACAGGGCGAGAGGGCAGGAGATGATGCAGAATCGCGCTCGTGGACTGGGTACTTCTAGCTTCACCGCCAACTGATAAGTGGAGCGGCAACTGAGTCCTTGGACTGGTGGTGAGTACGGAGTACCTACTGTGTAGCAAGTTCGGAAGGAGGTCCTCGGTCCCTCGCCCCCTCGCCCCCTTGAGCCTGGGGAGAAATACAAGTTTTACATAATACTAGCCATCGAGATCCCAATTCCGGTTCTTGGCATTCCAAAACAGAGGCCGGATCTTAGTTTCTCCGAGGTGGCCACTCCAAGGGGCGGGGATCCTGCCCAGCCTGCCTTCATTCTTCCAGAGCCTTCCTTTCCTTTTGTATCACGGGCAGCCTTGGGTCGTCAACCCTCGATAATGGCTAAATACTGGGTGGTTATTGCTCTCATTCATTCCTTTTCCTAATTTGATGATAGTTATGGTCCATCCCCGACATCCAGCTCGTCCATCATTACAAGTACAAGTACAGTCCATGCCCCACGTCATCCTCGAGTCTCCAATCGAGTCTTCCCGAATATACCCCCTGTCAGCCTTGACTGCTGTATAACCTCGGAGTATTCATGCCTCTTTAACCCACCACAACCATGGACAAACTACCCGAAGAAGTTTTGATTGAGATCTTCGACTACCTCGAACCCGAGGAACTCATTTCCATCCAACTGACATGTTCCACCTTGTCCAAGGTGGGACGTGCCAACCCCCTGTGGAGGCATAAATGCTTCGAGAAGTCTCCTAGTGCCTCTATGAGCAATGTCATGATTAGGTTCTACAATGCTTTGCTAGATCGACCTCCACCAGCTCACCCTCGTCAATCATGGGGGCTCCCTCCAGATGGCCATGTGTCGAAAAGGCGAGGAGAAAGCGCCCGGGCCCGGGCAGTCAATCAGTGGGATTTTTCAGGGGAAGGCGAAAGGGTTGACTGGTACTCAGAATACAAGTCTAGATATGCTCCTATGAGTGTCGATTGGCTCGTCAACGAGACCACAAGCCCCTTCGAGATTAGAGGGGTTTCCTCTCGCGGCATGAATGACAATACCGTTGGATATTTGGAGGACGGGAGCGTCTGTATCTGGGATCTCAGTCGAAGTCCTTCAGGAAGGAGGACATTCCGAGAGCTAGGACGGAGCAAACCATCCATCCTGTTTGCTGACGCCAATCAGCCAGGCGAAACTCTGGTCGTGGATTGTGTGAGCACCTTCCCGCTACAACAGAAGGCTTTTGTTGCCGTCGGCAATGTGTTGAACGAGGTCGACCTCCACACCCTGACTGTGGTGTCGCATGCAAAGTATCCGTTTCAGATAACAGCCTTGTCGCAGTCAGCCTATCCCAACCTGCCGTTAACGGTTGGCACTCAGTGGAGCCTCCACATAGTTGATCCACGAATCCCCGTCATTCCGACATCTCAGTCTTCGCATGAACAGACGGATGAAGTGTCATGCACACCGGGAAGTTCTACTGCAATCCTCCCCGACATGTCAGGGGATTCTTCAATGCTCCCTTCCATCTTCGGCACGTCCCCTTCGTTGTCGTCTAATGCTGGTCCGTCGACACATTCTTCTGGATCGCCTAGTTGGCGCCCTTCCCATCGCTTGCAGAATCCTCAATGGATGGGTTATGCCCGAGTAGAACCTGGGCCACTGTCAATTCTACACCACGCCGAGAACGAAATTCTGATCTGTGGTAGATTCCCCAGCATATTATCCTACGACCGCCGCTATTTCCCGCGTCTACAATATGTGATCCATTCCAGCGCTAGCCTCTCAGCAATGACATCGATACCATACCCGCCAGCCCGAGCATCTGCCAATGTAGTGGGCGATGCCACTCTCATTGCATGTGGCGAATACCGGGGTCGTGGATCTCTAGAACTTTACTCCCTTCCTCACACCAAGCCTGGTCAAAGGCAATCCAACCCGGATATCTCGACCAGTTCCAGCCCCTCGGAAGACGACGACCTCGACATTACCAGGAACCGCAACCTGACCTCCGATGACGGCCTCTTTAGCTACAAAAACCGCCAAGACGCCGCAAAGTCGAAACTTCTCTCCGTGGCATCGCACGGCACCAAAATCGTCTTCTCCGACTCCGAAGGTGGACTGAAATGGGTCGAACGGGACGGGCACAGCGTCGTGCGCAGGTGGAACCTCAACAACTTCCTGACAGATCATCCCAACGCCATCTCAACCTATGCATCTACATATGGCGACGCAGTGGCGCGTAAAATCATCCCTCTCGACGCACCTTCCTCGGAGTGGGGCAGTCGAGGCGACGCAGACTTGCTCATCTGGACTGGGGAGAAGATCGGTATCGTCACGACGGATCCGAATTTCATGGACCATGAAGAAATGGTGCGCGAGATCGAGGGTGACGTGGAAGGGAAGAGGGAGAAGGAGGAGCGGAAGAGGAAAGAAGAAGAGTACTCCAAGGTCATGAGGCGGGCCTTGGAGAGGCAGGCGGACGAGAGGCGGTGGATGAGCCAGTTCAGACTTAAGAGGAGGGATTATATCTGAACTTGGCCTAGCTTCGAGGCGGGAGAGAGGCAGCAGAAGAAAGAGGGGGGGCCTGGTAAGACGAGGCTGGGGATGAGCGGGAACATCCAGGACTGGAAAAATATGTCCGGTGGGTATGTGCTTGGACATTTAAACAAAGCAGGCAAGCAAGATAGACAACTACCTCGTAGAACTAGATCCCCGTCGTCAACTTCTCTGAAGCCCCCCCCCCCCCCCCGGTTTTCATTTCGTCCAACACCTACTATTTGTTCGCGTCACACCATGGACATGCCGCTTCGACGACAGAGGACGGGCATATTCTTTCTTTAGGCCCTCTTCCCTGAGGCATTGCTCACATAGTCGCGAGACTCGCGCATTGTTTGTTTGTTTGGTTGTTAGTCTTGTTATACAAGTCCATTGATTGTAGAAGCTAACTATCTGTGTAAGTAACTGAGGTACCCGGCCTGTACCATCATCGGTGATGCTCGCTGGATCCCTGATCCCTGATCTTGAGAGGGAGGGGGAGGGGGGCCCGAGTCCGATTCCAAATCGACATGCTTGCGCCATGCTCGCCATCGGATGCAGCAGTTCCACTGAGCAGCCGTGAATGGTCCTTCAATCTCGCCGATAGCTACTCACTCACTCGCTCACCCACACATCCATGCATGTGTATATGTATTAGATGTATGTGTGCATGCGTCGCCGTTAAGCTGTGAAACCTCGCAGGCAAAGGATGAGAGAAAAGGAGATAGTAAGGTAGAAGTGAGGAAGGAAGAAACAGACTTGATAAGTAGCCGCACCAATTATGACCTTTGATGACGATAAAGTCGAATAAAGTAGTCAACTAATCACTCACTCCACCATGATCAAGTACATTTTTCCCTTTTGAATGTGAAGAGCGTATGTTGCGTGCCAGCCTTATGAAATGACATTATCATATTGATAGCAGAACGGGCCTCCGGTCGTGTTGATCAACTCTCTCACCGTGATGGGTTCCAGTTGGAAGTAGCCCCAATCCGGTTCGATCGAGTCCAGCGTGACCACCGGCGACGGCGGTGTGTTCAGCGCGGTCCCCGTTGTCCCGTCCAACTGATCCGCCAGCTCGGGGTAATTGGTCTGCCAACTCCAATAGACCTTGTCGATCATGGTGTGGAGAGGATACCATACGGGATCCTGGGCGGAGACGTGGATACTGTCCATCTGGCCCCCAATGGAGAAATGCGCGCCTGAGTGGATGCCTAGAGAAGCGGAGCCGATGACGCCGTTGAGGAGGAGCTCGAAGTCTGCAGCGTTGCTTGCGTGCGTGGCGGCGACGAGCTCGGTGGTGTTGGTATACGTCTGCGAGACGTAGGCATTTAGGTCGCGCATGAGGCAGATCTCGTTGTAGGAGAAAGCGTCAGCTGGTAGCGTGCCGGTGGTGAGTTGCGTGGGGTCGATGAATTTTAGCGGCGCAATCATGTTTCCGAAAGGGCCAGTAGTGACGCACCCACCGCCTGTTCCGTGAGGGATAGTCAATGCTGAGCCGAGGACGATGGGACCTGTGTCGTTGTAAATACCGTCGCCGGACATGGAGTACTCGGAGCCATCGAAGATGGGGAAGGCGTGTGGGTCAGAAGCCGTGGCGGCGAAGTTCCAGTAAGGGAATGCCCCAGTATAGCCACAGGTTTGTTGCAGATCTGTCTCGTAAATCCAGAGGAAGTAGCGATGCCAGGTCAAGAAGAATGCGTCGAGATGGACAAACTGCGTACGGTTCACGTGAATGACGGCATAGTCCATATATCTATTGATGGCAGCGGGATATTGAACTGAGTCGAGTTGAGATGGCTGGGCCATTAGACACTTGACGGCGTCCGTGTATGCTTTTCGGTCAGCAGCAGCCATGCTGTTAAAGTCCACTCGAGTCTTGACGTTTTCAGGTGTGCATGGGGAGTCCCCTCTTCCGACGTGTCTTGGTGGTGCAGCGGAGACGAGCGACCGTAGTAGGAAAGCAGCAACAGTAACGAAGGACAAGAGCGAGAGTGGCATGATGGGCAACATAAGCGAGAGTGCAGTGTGCAAGGTACCGTAAATGAATAGTGAAGATTAGTTAAAAAAAAAAATCTGCAAAAGGAGGTTGTACTCATCATGAGAGGAGAGAAAGCTCATCCTCAGCCAGGAGGACAGACAGACCTAAATAATAGAAGAGCCAAGTCGCCATGGGGAAAAGGCAGCGTCGCGTCGAGTATTGTCGCCAGCATAGCTGATGGGTTTGCAGCATCCAGCCGTGTGTCAGAAGCATGCCAGGCGGGATGCATGGATGGTTCGCGTATAGGAAAAGATGGTTTTTTGTGGCGAGGCGGGAAAGAGTGGAGGGTTTGTCCGTGATGGAGGTGCGGTTTGCCATCGTCGTGGGTCTTCGATGCCGTGACGGACAGGGATAATTGAGGAGGCTGGAAGTCATGATGCTTACTCAAAACTTTGAGATCAACAAAGCCGCGAGTAGATCCAAGCCGTGCTTGGCTAGGCAGTGGCATAGGACCATGAGCTTAACCGGGCTTCATCTGCGCTCTCAGAGGCTGCGGAAAGACTGGGGTTCCTTGGCCTGGACAAAATCATCATGTTGGTTAAGGTCGTGTTGTCAATGCGGGGGACACGTCCGGAGCTGCTTCGTAATTCAAGGTTGTCTTCAGGGTTGCATGTCTGGCTGGTCCGGATGCTCAGCCTTCCATTGAATCCCACTCCCCTTTCCACATGCAACTCGGCTCGTTGGACCTCCGTGCACCGCCCAGAGAAAGATTTCCGCTCACTATCCCATTGCTCTTTGTAAGTTGCCCTTTGCTCCTCCAATATAACTCCCGCCTCAGTCTCTTTGAAGCCTAGCATGCCTCGTCGGTGGAGACCGGACACCGTCTCAACGCCAATTGAGACTCTGACACCCATAGCATGCCGTTCTTGCTGCAGTTGCACGGTGGCACTGACACTTGGCGAACGGTGTGATCTCGCCCTCTTTCCCATAATGTGACGTTTTGTGTCGCCGCTGATCGTTGATGTGTGTCTTTGGCAGGCGAGAAGGGATTCAGTGGGCTCGTTCCTGGCGACTTGATTCTTTTCCATGTAAAGAGATGCACAAGCAGATCCGCATCATTAGATGGATGATAGCCACTAAGCAGTGCAAAGGATGCCGGCTGGGAATGTGGGCTCGAACGCACCATTCTAGCATTACGGGAAATTTCTTTGCAGCAGATGTGGATCTCTGTGACATGGGAGGTTAGCCAGTGCTAAAATGAGCGGGTGTATTCGCTTGGACGAGACATCAATTGGCACCCCTTGTACGCAGGTATCCTCGTCGCCATGTGTTCGGTTATCTATTGCAAAACACTTCCCTTGACCGCGTAATCACCATCGGTCTCGTGGTCGAATGTGCAGAATGGAATGTATATCGGAGAAATATGCCAACCAGTTGTCTGTGTTACGCCGTCTTGGGTTTTTCGACGGTTTCGATGGCCGAGGCAGATCAGCGTCGCTGTATCTTGGAGCATTCTCGAGTGTCATTCAGAAGTTGGCCCACCCACGGGTTCTAACTTGCCTGGAATTCACCTAGGATGCCACGCGTTTATTGAGTGAAACAGAATGCTGTGAAAACGGATAGTGGTTTGCCTTGTCAGACATGCAATGAAAGCAAGCCAACCACGCATGGAAATAATGGTGCTTGCGCCACACCTGCTATTCCAAATTTCACAGGCGCACAGGGCGAAGATTGGGCAACTGGAACTGCAATGAGAATTCGATGCGGATAGGGTTCGAATGCCCACGCATGGGTTTGGACAGTGGCTCTCGTGCCAAAAACCCTTCCAACAGCAAGTGGGAATATCGATCGTCCATGTTGCGATGATTTGAAATGAGGCAATGAAGCGGCGGAAACATGAAGCCACGCTGGTATCCCATCCTCGAACCCGGCGTTTGTGTCACTGAATCTGCACCGACATCTCATTCTACCTCCTCGGGACCGGTGTTTTGAGTCTGTAAAGTGAGATATGGTTCCATGGCTTGGTAGTGTAGGCATAGCCAACAAGACGGTAAGGAGAACCAGGTTCTAGCAAGATCTTGATTCCAGACTCGCCGAAGTAAAACATTCATTTCAAAGCTGGGGGAGAGGACGGTGAGGTACAAGCACGGGGGCAGGACAGTGTTCCAGATATTGGCCGCCCAGAAACAGAATCATAGACAGTGGCAAAGAGAGGAAAGAAGTATGTGGCGATGGTATATCTTGTGGAGGATTCCTCCAGGAGGAAGAGGAATATTTGGCCCCCACAGATTGGGCGCAGTCACGTGAGTAACAGTCACGTGAAGCGAAGTGGCTCGGCTATCTCGACCGACTGGACAGAAGTACGAGGCGCAGGCAGTTCGCACCTCGCAGCCAAAAAGGCAAAAGACCCGAGACCCCAGAATCTGGCAGCAGAATCTTGAGCAAAGCAAAGCAGAGGCAGCGCAACAATTCTTCATCACAAGCGCAGGCATTTATCGAGCCCTCTTCAGTCCGAGAACAATCCCATCTTAATCACTCCTCAACGCGTCCGTCTCGATGGTACAACTTCTCTCATTTCATATTTCTTCGTCCTCATCTTTGCCCTCGCCCTCGCCCTCCTCCCCTCGACCTTCTCCATCCAGCCAGTGACATGCCGAAACGTGTCGCAGACGAATATATCACAAAGGATCACGGTTCTACAGCGAACAACCCCACAGAGGGCGATAAACCGAAAATGTCTACAGCCGCACAACAGGCACGGCGGAAGTGAGTTGTTCTGTCCAGCATACCTTCGAATTCATCCCTTTGTCGCGCTTATGTTGTTGTTGCCCTCCTGAATTCGATCCCCAAAAATTCCTCCATTCCTCCGCCTCGGGCGCCTCACTCCAGTCCCTTGGCTGCGGTTACCCGTACGCTCTACATCCATCGCCTTGACTTTGCCTTGACTTTGCCTTGACTTCGCTGAAAGCGCCTTGGAACAAAAATTTACTGACTGCCTCTCAGGATAGCCACGCCGCGAGGCCGGCTAGGCTCAAACCGCCCTTCTCATTCCACCTCTTCCCTCAGCGCCTCAAATCCCTTTGCCCAAAGTACTACCCAACAACAGTCCTTTCCCAGTATGAACGGCGGTGTTGCCTTTGGTGCAAGCCAATCGTTTCCTCAGGGATCTGCTGGCACGAGCAGTTCTTTCAACTTTCAGCCTCCGCAGGCGAGCTCCTTTACCTTTGGTGCGCCTTCCGACACACCTAATCCCTTTGCAAATGTGAATGGATCTGTGGACGCGCATGATGTCTCGATGGAGTCACCTCAGAAGAAACCTGGGTTTGGGAGTGCTTTTGGATCGAACAACTTTACATTTGGCCACCCGGCAGGACAACAGTCGAATGCCCCCTTCAATTTTGGTGGAACTCAAACTGCAAATACAAACGGTACGAGTGTGTTCGGGCAACCTTCGAAGCCCCCAGAGGCCCTTGCTGCATCGAATCCTTTTGGACAGCCTTCCCAGTCCCGGAATCTATTTGGCGGGTTCGGTCAGTCGTCATCGACTGCACAATCTCAGACACCAGCGTTCAGTTTCGGCCAAACCACTTCGGTTCCACAAAGTCCTCTTCCAGCGTTCGGAACTAAACAGGGTCCTGATACGCAACCTCCAACCCCCAAATTCACCTTTGGGCAAACCAGTACTACTCCACAGAGTCAAGGCACTGGACTCTTTGGCTCAACGGCGCCCGCTACCCAAAGTAGTGGCACCAGTATGTTTGGTTCTACCCCAAATCAAACGTCCATGACTGGATTCTCACCTTCAACAAACTCGGTTGTCCATTCTTTTGGAGAAACTTCAGCACAGCTTCCTTCGACAAGCAATTCCTTTGCTACCCTCGGCGCCGCGAAAGGAGAAGAGCCCAAACCCGCCACTTCCTTGTTTGGTGCTGTGAAAACTTCTCAGCCCGCAGCCGAGCCGCAGCAAAAACCTTCGTCTCTAGAGAAGCTAGCTGCTCCGGGATCCGATGCGCAGCCTGCTAATCCTTTTGCTGGTCTCTTTGCTGGTGCGAGTGCTTCCACTGCAGCCGCTCCTGCGTCAAAACCCATATTCAACCTTGGGTCAACAAGTCAGACAGCCACCCCCCCCACCGGGAAGCAAGAAACAACCATGACGAAGTCTCCATTCAGCTTTGGTGAAACGGCTCAACCCAAACCGGCCGCCGGGGAATCTAAATTCAAATTCTCAAGCGCGGCGTTCAAATTCGGCTCAACGATGCCAACGACGGGGCCGACTACGTCAGGCTTCTTTGGGAGAGCTGCAGGTGCTGATAAGTCAGCCCCTCAACCGGAGGCTCCCAAGGCTGGTTTTCCGAAGGCACCAGCACCGGAAGATGCTGCTCAGAAATCATTGTCCGGCTTTCCCCCCCCATCGAAGCCCGACTCTGCTGGGGCAATATTTTCGCCTGCTAAAGCGCTGCAGGACGGCAAGGTTGCAGGTGGGACACTGTTTAGCAAGCTAAGTAGTGCTGTTGAGACTTCAGCTCAACCACCATTCAATGTACAACCCAAGCCTGCACAGGAGAGCAGTCAGCCGCAAGCAGCGACAACGAGTCTGTTCCCTAGTGCACCTAAAGCCGCAGTGGATAGAAGTGGAACCTCTACAGAGGCAACCCGCCCTCAGCCGCCTTCGAGTCCTACCTTATTCGGTGGTCCGTCGCGGCCAGAGCCTCAAGAACCTCAGGCTGCACAAAAGTTTTCGTCCACTTCCGCTGCCTTCTCCACCACAACCGCTCAAGCTGGTCAGCCTCCAGCTGTGAAGCCAAGCTTATCTGCAGGGACCGTAGGCGTCCCAGCACAAAAGCCTCTTGAAAATGCGGAGGAGTCTGCCACGATTTCGGAACCCGTGAAAAGACCAGTGTACACCAAAGCTCCGTCCCGCGTTCCCGGCCACACGACTCCCGAACAGTTCCAGGAGTTTGACCGAGACTACCGTCTTCATTCGCTGAACTACGGTCTCCAGAAGAAGCTAGCCACCCTAGACCCCAGCTCGCAAGACTTTGACAATATCATCCGGCATTATGTAGCTGCGCGTGACAGCATTGGCGCATCATTGGGGTTGTTCGTGCGCAATGTTGCAGGAACGAAACGAAAGGCTGATCAGGTCGATGATCGCGAACAAGAATCTGAGCAGAACAAGAGGACCCGAGAAACAACCTTACCAAAAGCGACCATGTTTGGCTCGCAACCCAACCCTGTATCATCTGGTTCAATCCTTCCTAAGGCAAATAATTCTGCAGCTGGCCATCAGGCGCCTTCGACGGCGGTTGAAATGCTCAAGGACAAGACCGCTGGGTTTGGGTCAAACAGCATGCCTGGGGCCTCGCTAGCCACTACCACAGGGTTCAAGCCAAATGCAACCCCCTTTTCAGGGTTTACTGTGACATCCGCTGCAAGTGCTAATCCTTTCTCCCAACTCAATCAGTCAACAAACTTACCCTCGTCTGCGCCTTCGACAACTCCAACGAAGTCACCGCCAAAGAAACCGACCTTCGAAGTGCCGAAATTCGGAGGCGGCAGCACAAACTTCCTTGCTGCGTTTGGCCAGAAGGCAAAGGAAAGTGCCGACAAGTTCGAGAAAGATCTGATTGAAAAGCGCAAGGCCGAGGAGTTCGATTCAGATGAGGATGACGAGGAAACATTCCGCAAACGAATCGAAGAGGAAAGCCGAGCAAAGAAGGCAAAAATCGATGCTGTTGCAAAGGGAGGTTTTAAACCGACGTTCAGGCTTAGTACGACTGCTGAGCCGCCGAAGGAGAAAGATGCTACCAAGTCTTCTTTCGCCAGTTTCGCCCCTTCATCCTCAACTAATTCTTTCTCTGCGCTCACGTCCAAAGCTGCTTTCGCAGAACAATCAGAAGTTGCAGAGGCAGACGAAAATGAGGGTAGCAGGTCGAGCAATGATCAGGCCGAACATAGTGGCGAAGAACAGACTGATAGTGACAGCAACAGCGAGGAAGGGGGGGAGTCCGAAGATGCCCTTCCTGAAGATGAAGTTGCCGAAGCAAACGAAGAGGAAGAGGATGAAGACGACAATGATCTGCAGGCTGCCATGGATAGGGCAAGACGCAACCCAAATGCTGGAAAAAGCTTGTTCGAGCGCATTGGGCCAAATCCGAATAGAGAGAAAGTGGCAACAACAAATGGAGAGAAAAATGAGCCCGAAGAAGGTTCACCTCCTATCATGCAGTCAGCGAAGAACTCCTCGTCTCGCCCATCGATCTGGGAATCGCACATCGGCAAATCGACACCTGAACAACCGTCGTCGCTTTCTCCATTCGGCTCTTCCACTGGTGCATCCACCCTCAAACCTGCGAGTGGATTTCATTTTACTCCATCAGCAGCAAGTGCGACACCCACCCCCGGTCCAGGCACTTCTATCTTTTCTGGTGGAGCTACCAAACAGGGTCCAGTTCCAGGAGAGGGTTTGTTTGGCTCTCGACCGAGTACGCCGAGCAACGCAGACAAGAACGGCGGCCTCGCCAAGTCAGTTCTCACTTCTCCAGCAGGGACCGACAACACCTGGAAAGAAGGTGCACCTATCTCGTTCGCAAACGGGGAAAAGCCCACAAGTGCCCCCATTCTCAAATTCACGGCACCGTCCCCAGGAGAGGAGAGGGAGACGGCTACCTCAAGGCCACTCAGTACTCTCTTTGGCACAAGTGCTCCAGGCTCGAGAGGCTCAGAAACCCCAAACTTGGGTTTTCAATTTGGAGCGCCAACTCCCTCACCAGCACCTGGCTACTTGGGCGCAATTTCTCATCTAGGAAGTGGTTCTGTGGCTAGTTCGGTTGTCTCGTCTCGTGCCACCTCACCTGGCCTGACGGACAACGAGTCCGTTGCTACGAATGAGACCGAGGAGAGCACCGAAGATCCGCAAACTTCGCTAATGGACTCAAGAGCAGGAGAAGAAAACGAGAGTTGTCTCTGGGAAGGCCGGTCCAAAGCCCTTATGTTTGTCAACAAGGAAACCGCAAAGGGGACCAAATACATCCCAAACGACTGGAACTCAATGGGCGTGGGACAAATCCGAGTCCTCAGAAACAAGGAGACCAGTAAGACCCGCGTGGTGTTCCGCGTGGAACCGAGCGCCAATATCCTTTTCAATTCTCATCTTGTCGGGAGCACAAACTATGAGAGCGTCCCGAGTAATAAGAGTGGTGCAGTGAGAGGAGCGCTGATGTATAAGGGGAGTCTTACACGATTGGTATTCAAATTGAAAACGCCGGAGATGGCGAATGAGTTAGCGAAGATTCTGGAGCAGAACAAAAGTGCTTAAAAATTCAAGGGGGTGTTTTTTTTTTTTTAAATACGAGTTGCACGGATGGCCGAACAGGAAAGAGCATCGCATGTATCAGAAGCGGAGAACTTGCACAGCGATGGAGTTTGGGGGCTTGTTTATCAATGTACAGCAACAAGATGATGTGGGATATGATCCGCCATATCCAAACCATCACACGATATTGTGCATGTCCGCCCATGTCGAGCTCGCGTTGAAAGGGACTGTGTCTCCTTGTCCCATCGGGGACATGTTGGGCTGCCTCTTTGACACTTGAAGCTCCTGGGCGTCCGACTGACAGTGTCGGAATGTTTGAGAGGTGTAAGTGGTGGGCCTGGGCTGAATTGGAAAGGAATGCAGGTCTACATAGAGTTGAATAAAGGGCACTGCTTCCTTGAAACTTTTGATTCCATTTGAGACAGTTCTCTCAACACCCCTTGCTTTGCGGCAACGTGCAAATGGTCCACCTGCAGAGCCTTGGCCATGGTATCTCATCCTCATCTGCTCCGGCTCCGTCTTCTGCCCAGATCTAACCCGCCCTCACAAGTAGTGCTCCGGCCTCTACCGACCGCAGTCCCTCCGGTGCCCTCGCAGCCAGCTTTTCATGTGTGGACTACGTTTAGGTGATGTGTTTCTTTCACGAATCCTCAACAACGACAGTCTGCAGGCCCTTTGCCTCCCTTTCCTTGACGTTCACGGCCTGGACATAGGAATACAGCTTCTCCTTGGCTCCTTCTTCGTCGTTTCTCTTCCTCGAAATCCGGACCCGGAGGCGGAAGGGGACACCCTTGATTCCAGATTCCCAGACCTTTTTGTTCAATTGTGGGTCGAGCCGCACATCGCTTGTTCCCTAGAAATTGGACCAAAACGGAAAATGGATTAGAAAAGAAATTGGGAAGCAGAAAAAGAAAAGGAGGGAGGAGGGTACGGATGAGGATGAGTATGAGAAAGGCAAGGCGAGCGCAACGTACCATGGCCTGTGTGGCGAATCTTCGAATCTCCTTGATCGCTCGGGGCGCTCGCTTCTTGAAGCTGATGCCGTGAACCTTTATTTTTGTAAGAGTGATAAATCAGTCTTCCGTCCATAATGCTCGCAGGTAAAAGAGAGAAGAAGAAAAATGTCGAGAGTAGGAATGTAAAAGGGTCGAGGTGGGAGGTTGAGCGAGCAAGCAAGCCATTCGGGTGGACTTCATAAAACTGATTCCCTCGTGGTGTGTGATATCCCCTCTTCCGTCTCTTCTCTCTCTCTCGTTCTCTTTCTCTTGGATTTGGTGAGGAGCGCAATTCCAGGTTTTCGAGAGGTTTCACGAAACAAGTGATAGACATACTCGCTTGTGTAGATGGATGGTGTACTCGCGCGCGACGACGTCTCCGATCGCAGAACGAGACTTCTTGCCCGTCTGCTTTGGCTGGGTCTTGGGGTTGTCTTTCACCATTTTGACGGTATTCTAAGTTGGAAGGTTATGTCAGTCGCAAGTTCCTTGAAATTTTGAGATCTTCCAAAGTTCAGGCTGGTGAGGGAGAGGGGCTGAAAGTACCAGGGAGGTACTGATTTTCACCTACTGTCTGAACTGGTGAAGGACTAGAGACGCTGGCGGAATGTTGAACTGGCTGAAGAAGACGACGTCTTGGGTTGAAATTTGGATGTGCGCAGTTTGTCCGAAGATGGAAAGGTCATGCCAAGATTTCTATCACGTGAGGCAGCCTCTGGCATACGGGATGAAGGGAGGACATCACTCTTGATCACTCCAAAGAAGTCGACCAGGAAGCGAGAGAGATGGATACGTGTAGATTGGAGCGTCTACGGAGGCACTTTCAACACCAATATTTCCGAGCTCGACCACCACAACGCTGAGAGGTCAAATCAACTGCAATGTCTTTTTTTCGTCTTCACTGCTATATTCTTGCCCTGCAACGACTCGTCCACCTTTCATTCCTCGTATCGCACCTTTCCAGCACTCACGTCGGGATAGACATCAAACCTTCTCTGAGTATAGATTGGAATGCCTTTCCTCGTCTCTTCAATCTTTGTGCCATCAATGTCGGCATAGACAATATCTTCATACTCTTGAGCCTCAGCCAAGACCTCCGCATTGGGATTCACTATCATCGAATGCCCATAAGCATGATAGGTTGCTTCTGTGTCTCGCGCGGGACTACACATGGCCACGTAAATCTGGTTGTCCATTGCCCTGGCACGGGCTTGCAATGTCCAGTGCATTGGACCCGTTGTCGTATTGAAGGCTCCAGGGTAAACAAACATGAAAGCATCTTTCCTTGCAGCTATCATGGCGAGTTCGGGGAAGCGAACATCATAACATATTGCTAACCCAATCTTACCATATTCTGGAATGTCGACAATAGTCACTTTGTTTCCTGGAGACAGGACATCGCTCTCTTTGAACTTGATCTTGCCCGGTATGTCGATGTCAAACAAGTGTGTCTTTCGGTGCGTCGCTAGAAGCTTTCCGGTGGGCGAGAACACAAGAGAGGTGTTGAAGTATTCCTTCGTCTCCGGGACGAATTCTGGTATGCTCCCGCCAATCAGGTATGTCTTCGTTTCTGCTGCAACTTTGGACAACATGTGCCACGAGGGTGCTTTCTCTTCTGAGGGAGGCGAAGGAAGGACGGTCTCGGCGTACACAGGGAAATATTGACAGCCATACGGCGAGTTGAAGCATTCAGGAAGGACGATCATGGAAGCGCCAGCTTTTGCAGCTTCGATGACTTTCGAGCGAGCATGTGCGAGATTTGCGGCCTTATCACCACCTGTGCACACATCAGAATAGTTTCCTCAAATCTGATTTTCGAAACAGAGTACTCACCACTTACCTGATGCAAGCTGCACGAGGGCAAGCTTGAAGGGCTTTTTAAGTAGGCTTGCCATGGTTGCGGCTCAAGTCAGCGGACAGTCTCGGTGATTTGGGCGGCACAGGCGGATGTGTCGCTTCCAGAATCACTTCTTTATTTGCAGGGAGCCAGATGGGACAATGTTATGCGAGACGATCAGTTGGGCGAGAGGGTCAATGGAGGGGTCGCATGGACAAGGAGATTGAGCTGGGCGGGAAGGTTGACCGAGGTTGCCAAGGATCAGCTAATCTCAAAAAGTCATCGTTGCAGGCTCAGGAGGCTCACAACATTAATAATTGACACCATCAGTCTTGCATGAAGACCCACCGAGAGTTGCTTCCTATCAAGCACGGCAGCCATTGATCTTCAGGTAAATTATAGGAAAGATTTTATTATTCTGCCGACTATACAATAGATGCCCAAGCCTGGTTGAGCCAGGTGGCCAATATCTTCATGTTGTAAACAAAAACTGTGTGAGTGAAGAGCGAAGATGGTCAAGAGCTGCTAGAGGGAGCCTCGTTGATCCCCTCTCATCGTGCGCGCTTTCCTTTCCCTCTTCCAAGCTCCATCTCAATCCCAATCCCAATCCCAATCGTTGCAGCTCTGCCAGACCCGTATCTCTCGGACTTTCCCTCTTGCCTAATCTGCGGCTTGGACGGGCAGGTGCTTTCCTTTGTCTCTGTTACCCCCTAACTGCAGACACGAAGAAGCTACCCCTACCTCGTGCCTTCACCGTTACCGCTCCAGTGACACTTCTCTGTTTCTTTTCATCGAATTCCGCTCATCTCTCATTCTCATCGACTCCCTTGGAATCCACTCTCTATCATCCTAACGACTCTCACCCTGATGCTGTCATCGCCACAAACAACTCAAGGCCAGTACCACGCTCTCGTGAAATATGCATCTCACTCACCCTTCATGCCAAACAGTGTGCCTCGTGTTGACCAAACCCTTGATCATGCCCGATCACGCCTCTAGCGTCAAAGCTGAGCCTGCCCAGCCTGCCGCACATGGCATCAACAAGGATGAGGCCAGCACGGAATCTGTTACGTCGCAAACTGGGATCGTGAAAGATCAGGTTGCCGCTTCCCTGGGAGATGATCGAAACTCGACCAAGCCTGCTGGAAGTGCCAGGAAGCAAACCCGCACCCCTCCAACGTTCAGTGTTGCCATGGAGAAGGACGTCAGAGAGATGATGAATAGAGCTCGCAAAGTTCTCCATGGAAAAGAAAACCCCACCAAGACAGAAGAGGGCTACAAGGAAATGGCATTGCTTGCCACGAATCTCGTCCAGCTCATGAACGCTTCATTCATTGTGAGTCACCTTAGCCGTGTGTTTGATTTACCACTGACTAGTTTGACTTGCTCAGGCCACTGACACCATTGTTCGCGCCATCGCCTACATGAGAGGGGACAGCCAACTTTCTGCTCGGAGCTCTATCTTCCAAGCTAGACGAGACCGTCGTGCGCAGAAGGTAGCTGAGAGACTTGTCGATGACGTGAAGAATAGTGCTCTGAACACTATTTCTCTCAATGGTGCTGAAGCTGGAACCAAAACCGCCGTCTCAAATGCGAAAGCAACCTGCAACAATACGCAAGCTGGTACCGAGGTCGGCCCGAACCAGCAGGATACCGCACCCGGTAACGAGGACCAGCAACAGAGACCACAGTCGCTTCGAACCAAAGCCAACAAGAAGAAGAGAAACTACCGACGGCCCACGCGGAACCGAAAGGATAGCGCTATCCCCAGAGCGCAAGAACACAAGGCATGTGTGGCGGATAACACAGTCGGTAGCGCAGATGAATCGAAGGACAATTTGTATAAGAAGACAACAGCGACCGAACACAAGCCCGAGACATCTGGGGAAGAGACTGCTGTTGAGGGTGATGGCGTGGCCGTTGCTATCAAGGCTTGAAACACTTGTTCCGGGGAAGTCCATTCGCGAACCCAAATGTCAGTAGTTTGGGGATGGGCAATGTCGAAATAGTTGAGAGTCACAGCTACTAATCAGGCAATGAATGGGATGGTGGAATATCTTACTGGCTGCGCGGCATTGGTGATGATGCAAATGTAACCCGACGGACAAAATGGGGAATGCACATAGTTAGCTGCCTCATAACGGACTATGCAACAGCTTTAATACTCTTTGAGGTCGTGAACCCTCCCATGTGAAAGGTGTGCCTGTCTGACCCTGAGCGTCAGACTGCTAGGTTGACAGCAGATTGGCCTAAGTATGGCTCCGGCCAGATGACGAGGCTGAGGTCTGAGAACGAGAAATGGAATCTAGAGGAGTCAAGATTTGGGCTGAGTATAGCGACTGACTAGGCATTTTAGAGAAGAACATGTAGGTTGTCCAAATGCCAGGGGATCGATCGGCTCTTTTTTTCTCAGTTTAGCTGAAGGGCTGCTAAATAACTTGGGCGCGAGTTCGCTCCGCCACAGCCCAGAATCCCTTGTTCGGGGCCTAGAGTAAATCGGCAGGTCCTCGCGGACTCGAAATGGGACTTTGTAAAGGCCATGACTCGTTGTGTCGTCGTGTCGTGGATGAGCTACGTCATTGTCACTGCACCAGCCTGATCAGTGCCTGGACTTGGGTATCGAGTTCTGGTGCTGGGCGTTGGCCAACCTTTTTTTTTTGGCCAATGCCTCTCTCTGCACTACTTATTTACGCATTGTCACCTCACAAACACGGTGTGGCCGGGAGAAGACCTCCAACATGCCTCGTCCTGGTGGTCCCGCCCTGTACTATGCTGTACTTGGGGGATTCTAGTCGGGTTATAAACACGTGCAAGCGAGAAGGAGTCGTGCTAGGATGACGATGGGGATACAACAACTAATTATCCCTCAGGTTTCGCTAGGCTGGAACCCAAAGCAGCACTACGAGTCGGCGAATTGATTCATCATCTCTCCCTATTGGGATCCAAGACACGGGCTCTGACTGCCTTTCGTGGAGCTGCTGCAGGGGCTGTGCCCACAAGAAACTTGACATGACAAACCTGCGGCACTGGGAATGAGTCTCCATGGCTTTCGCAATTATGTCACAGAGTTTGCACACAAGGTTACATAATGCCAACCTGTGGGCGCGTCTGACTAACAGTCATCAGGAGCGACGACTTTCGTACCTGAGCGGGCGACAACTAAGCGAGACTCTATATTCATCTCGCGAATTGTCAACGAATAGGAGTCGAGTGGCTTTTGCCTATTCCATGTTGTCTACGCTTTGCAGTTTTCGTCGATATTAATGGCGATCTGCTGCACTGCCGACCTGCTAAACTTTACACGATGCGAGGAACCGCCAGAATGTCGCCATCCCTCGGTGAAAGATTGTTTGTTAACTGCCCACCCCGTCAAGGACGCCTGGTGCCATGGCATGCATAATCACAAATCCCATTGTGCCTTTGGTCTTGGTTCACAAGGTGGCACGCAGAGCTGTGCCTTCGTCCCCGTTCGGTTTCGAAATTTGTCGTCGCCTGGGCACCTCCCCAAGCTTGGCGTTAATGCAGCTTTGTGGCAATCCTGGGAGGCGGTGGATGGCGGGCGAGCGGGCCTTGACTGCGTCTGTCAAGGGCCGCCGGGAGACCTTATTCAACCTTCCCAACTGACCGTCAAAGTGGAGACCATGAAATCCATTAAGAGGGAACAGAGTCGACTTCCACGCGAAGGATTTCTCGAGCTGATCAGTGTTCTTCTCTCATCAGGTGAAACTAGCACCAACGTTGGAGGTCAAGTCGGGAGATCATGGGCCCTCAATCTGCTATCCTTCGACGGAGTCACGGCAAATCTAAGGACGGATGCAAGACCTGCCTCTCCCGGCGGGTGAGATGTGACCAGACGAGGCCTACATGGTGAGTGTGTGTGCTGCTGTTCCGAGCGCAACCAGCACCCTGCAACTCGTGCACTAACGGGAATACGAGTCAAAACTGTGCACGAGGTTCGCGAGCATGCGTCTACCTAAGCGATTCAACTGGAGCGGCTGCGGATCACGCGAGGTCCATCGCCTGGGTGGATTCGATCGAGATCGCCTGTCAGGCCTGGAGGGAGAGCGGCGACACTCCGTTTCCCATGCTGAAGGTTTTATCGTCTCTAGACTGGCACGGTCTCGATCCACGAGGTCTCCGATACCTCTACTACATTGCCTCTCTCGGCGACATTTTGGACCAGAACAACGCTCGTCAATTCGCCCTCTGGTGGGATACCTATGAAGTGTATGTACGCCCTCCCCGCGCTGGAGCCGACTTTCAACAGCCAATTTCTACTAACAGCAAACAATAGGGGTATTCAAGCCACGGCAAAATATGACTTTGTTGCGTATGCTCAGATAGTGGCTGCCGCCAGCCGTATCGGAAAATTGACCAGGATGGCAAGCGTCATGGAGGACGCAGTGCGGTACAGGTCATTGGCTCTGAAAGGCCTGCAACAGGCGCTCGCATCCTTCTCAAGGGAGAATGCTGACGGGGTTTTGGCGGCGTCCATCAGCTTCATGTTCAATCAGCCAACTCCAGCCGATTTGCGGAGGATCACGCAGGGCACGGTAGCGGTAGTCGAAGCCATGCGACCATGGGCTGCATCTTCCGGGGCTCGGCCGCTGTTAGATCACATCTATCCAGTCGAACAAGACGGCCGATGCCCTCTCACACAGCATGCAGGGATTCCTTGTTCTTCCGAGCCAACGGTCTCTACGCCTCTGGTCATGGTTCAGTCCGCTACAGCTGCCGTCGAATTTCTGCTGGAACAAGGGCTGACCGCGTTAAACCGACTGGCGATGTGCATCAAGCACATGAAAGAGCTTTCCACGACCGTGCGTGGCCTAGCAGACATGCTTCGTATAGCCCAAGCAGAACACTTGAACGGTCAAAAGCATGATCCGTTCTGGCTCGTCCATCCCTTCTCCGGGCTAACCAGCCGAGAGTCCATCACCTTCAGCGACATCACCAGCTCCAAACCCTTCGTCCTGGTATTCTTGGCCCACCTGTATAGTGCGTTGGTCGTGGTATCGATGCTGTACCCGGAACTGGACACTGCCGGATTCGTTTCCATTCGTCTGTATTCCCTGGATGCCTTGACACAACATTTCGAACCCATGACCGCGATAAATTGCGAGACCTGCCGCGAGGCCCACAGCTGCCAGGAGCTTTTGGCTTTTCCCTGGAACGTCCTGCAGGCGTGCCGAAAATGGCAAATGGATCGGCAAACCGTCATACCCCGAACAGTAATGCCTCCACCACCGGATAAGTGGGAGGAGAGTCCATCCAGCACACCGATCGACGCGAGTTTCACCAATGAATATCATGCTCAAGAAGCCTTGACGGCCACAAAAAGCCTGCAGAGAGTGCATCGAAGTTGTTTGCTGGAATATGCAGACCTGAGCGAGCCTGCGCCGAGACAAACCCTACAGCACAACCCATGATGAACTAAACTTAGACTCCGAGCAGAAAAGTCAATGATAACCAGGGGCTTCCACCGAAGAAGCGCTGGTGGAAGAATGAGAAAAAGCTCTTTAACGCACGCCTCTCTTAGAACCTCTCCAAATACTTGCCAACAAAAAAAAAAAGGGAAGGCTGGTGTTTCTCTACCATTCGTCGCATTGGAGTGTACTCGGCGGCAGGGAATGTTCTTTATCCAGCCATTACTGCTGCCACCTTAATATACTACTATTGAGAGCAAGAGCGGACTGCAGCGAAATTTAATGCATCCTTGCCGTAGATAAAGATTGAAGCAAGGAAGAAGCAATTTAAATACTACCGTAGGTAGGGATAGTAGTAAGACCCACCTCCTGGCAGTATTCTATATAACCTGTTGAACACTGGATACAATTTATCTACCAGTGGTAACCGCCTATAAGCCTCAACTCTTGGATGTAGACAGTCCTTCGCACTACATGAATTTCATCAATTTGTTCCCCATTTACATTGATTAGATCTGTTACCGTGATAGTAGTTCCTGTTTGTAATATTTTTCAGTGCGGCGGTGTCCGTTTACGGCCTCAAAACACAAGACAAGACCGGCTAAGCCTAATTCGGTATTTTGGGTGTCGCGCTTCCAGATTCACACTTGCTTAAATGAATTCTATTCCTTCCCTTCCTATAAATCCCAGAACTACTGGTCCTAGCAGGTATTGAAAAAGTAGTAATAATACTTCGATACTATTACTTTTCTAATTCTACTTCGACACTGCTTCAGATTAATATAAAAACAAAATTCAAGACTCAGTAACCGAAGATACAAAGTACAAGTACTAGTGAATACTAAATATTATACTATATCACCTTCTCTATAGGTGTTAAATCGGTTCGAACTAGTTCGAATCGAGTCAGCCTAATCAGCGATTTAAGCACTAGACTCGGTTATAGCCTGGTCTAAGACCGGTGCTATAACCGATTTTAGATCGATTCGAACTGATTTAACTACTAATATTTACTAGTGAGATAATAAAAAAGAGTGTTATTTAATTCGGGTCGACAGCACTTAGCCCCGATATTTTAATTTCGTCTCTTTAATTTTAGTCTTATTTTAAATATTAGAATTAGATTTCTATGGTAGAATATTTAATTTTATAATATTTTCTACTAAAGAATATATATATTATTCTTCACTCCGATGTGGTCCTCGTACGAGGTCTAAACGGAGTCGACTAAACTAAGCTAGTCGAGAATTACTATCTACCCGTCATAGGAAAATCCTTTAGGGATGAAAAACCTACGTTTCTTCTCTTTCACTTACGAGTAGCACTTCACTAGAGCGCTATACGTATAATCCGAGATAAAAGAAAGGCTTCAGCCTAGTTCCTAGGACTGGCTCGAGGGCCCGAGGGCCATTTTCTAAGCCCACACCGAGGTATGGTATTTTAGGACTTTCTCACTATAGTCGATCACCATAGCTTTAGATTTAGATTCCGTAAAGTGGAACTCTCTTTTTTTCCTTATACATCGTATGGGGGGATTGCATCTACTTCACTCCGAGATAACGAGTGGTGAGAAGCTTACGCTTCTTAAGATATACTCCACCCCACATAATTCCTTTACTTCTTGTGAAATCTTTGCTACCTCGGTAGGTCTAAAGCTCTAACCCTAGGTGCACAATGGTACCCGAACTTACGCCCCCTATAGAACGTGCGGAAGTACCTCACCCAGTCGCTCTTTCACTTATTTCTATACTAGGAGGTGGTATTTCCTCTCGAAGAGCGAATAATGTAGTTAGCTATTGAGAGAGACTCTCTACGCTTCTATCCATACGCTGTGTTGTCTATCTCTTTAAGTAAAGAGATAGGTCGAAATCGGAATCGAGTCGAGTTCGCTATAGACTCAGTGAGGAGGAGTCGCTCGTAGATAGAATCGAGTGCTCGATAATCGTCGCTCGTTTTCGTCGTCGAGGCTCGAGGGTTAGGAGGACTTGGTTTCCTCTCAAAGAGAGAGTACTTACACCCTGCACCGCGTGAAGGTGCCTCCTGCGCAGGACATTAATGATATAATAATTATATTAAGTATATTAAATATATAAATCGATTCGGTCTAGTTCGAACCGATCTCGAATCGGGTCAAATTTGTCTAGTCCGCCTATGAACCCCTTAAATCGAGTCTAGCTTAGGTCAGAACCGGGCCGGAACTGGGCTAGAATCGGGTTAGCACTAGGCGGGCGGGCAATATTACTTAGTATATCGTAGTAAATAGTATTATATTTAAGAAAACCTACTTTGCAGAGTTAAACTCGATAACAAAAATCTGAATACGTAAGGCAGCATAACAATGATGACGATCTTCATTTCTTTATTAGACTTAACCGGTAGATAGGGACGGGCCAGTCCGAGTAAGTTGCTTATAATGACAACACACTGGTAATCTTACTGTGTCTCAAAGTATAATACTATACGTATACTCCAACTATCCCTAAAATTTTGAGAATCTGCGCTTTTCATTGTGGGATGAGTACTACAGCGTAATAGGATATTACCGAGTGATCACATAACCTCAGATATGTCTACGGCGGGAGTGCCTGTTTGGCGCTTGGCGCGAAGTTCACTTTTGCCCGAATTGGGATTGAAGGAATCACATGATGTGTTCTATTAAATCAATCAGCAGGTGGGTTCAGGATATACTAGTTGACTGGGAGCTCTTGCTTATTGAATTGTTTACATAGGAGTTTGCTGGTTCTTGCGTGTTGACCTCCGAAACCAGACTCTTTTTCCCCATTTCCATAGCTCCACGCCAACGAAGAACCAAAGTCCGGCTATAAATATAATTGCCCACTCCCATGATATCTCACTCTGCTTAAAGATCTTGTGGTTGATCACTGGGATGTATAAAGTTATAAAGACCGTGAAAAATCCCAGAATGACTGCCCAGAATAGAAACTGGTTTCTCCAGACCCGAACAACAAAAAATGGCGTGTTATGGCTCCATGGCTTTAGTTCGAAGAAGCTTTGGCGGAAGTCCACCAGTTCCCAGGCAAGAAACAAAGCAAACCATGTGAGACAGGCGAAGCATGTTGCTCGTGCACGGTATACGGTGGTGCACACTTCGCTGAACACATTGTTGCAATTATCTCCAAGTTGGCCGTCTCCGAATGCATAAATGCGAAGGGTGAAGGCAGTAAGACAGAGCGCAGATACCCAGAGTCCATACACCATCATGTCGATTAAGAACTCGGCGGTGAAGATGCCCTTTTTAAGCTGTGCCTTGATTAGCCAAACTGTTCGCTAATAAAAATCTCAGAAAGCTTACGCTACGTGGAGGGCGCTTCAAAATATCCTTCGCAGCTGGCTCAAACCCAAGTCCCATGTCGGGCATGCCAGATGTCGCCATGATAATCCAAATGATTTGAACTGGGGACAATGGGAATACGGAATGCCCTTTGCCATCTCTGTAAACTAGGCCAATGAGGAGAGTGCATGCCTGTGCAATGTTCTCGGCAAGGACGTGCAGGATGAACCTCTGGATGTTGTCGGATATGCGTCTTCCCTCTTCAACTGCGCTCACAATGGACGCGAAGTTATCATCCGTGAGTACAATGTCGGAGGCTTCTTTCGCGACATCTGAGCCGGAGCCCATCGCGATCCCAACATCGGCATACTGCAATGAAGGGGAGTCGTTCACGCCATCTCCAGTCTAATTCCGTCAGCAGATGCAACATCAACGAAGCCTGAGATGTCTGCTTACCATAGCCACGTACCCCTTGCGACGATGCAATGCCTTAATCATTCTGACTTTGGTGGTTGGTGTGCAGCGAGCGATCACCAATGGTAGCATTGGAAGTCGATCAATTTCAGCATCTGTCAAGCCATCGAAACGATCAGCTGTCATGACGGCCGCGTCCGCTTTATCCTTGCTAAGTAGATGCATTCGCTCTGGTAGGATACCGACTTCTTCAGCAATAGCTTTGGCGGTGCCAACGAAGTCCCCAGTAAGCATATGCACTACTATCCCGGCGTCGTGGCATAATCGCACCGCCGAAAGAGATTCAGGACGAGGAGGATCGTAAATGCCGATCAGCCCTCTGAAAATGAGATCTGTTTCGACCTGATCGCGATCAGCTCGATGAAGATCGTTGATCGACCCGTCATGTACGCCGCTTGCGAGGGCAAGGACGCGGAGACCACGCGCAGCCATCGCATTCATGGTGTCCATGATGTTCTGGCGGATCATGGGCGTTAGTGAGGTCGGGGGCAGACTGTCATTCAAATATATTTTCGTACAAAGCATGATAATTTTTTCGACGGCACCTTTCGAGAACACGTGGATTTCACCAGAATCTGAGTGCTGGTACACGACTGTGAGGCGCTTGGTTTCAGAGTCAAAGGAGAACTCTGTGAGATGCTTCCATCGTGCGTCGTCTCCGGAGGTTAGAGATATACGGTTCCTGGTGAATCGGGCCGCGAAGACCTGGATGGCGATCTCTGCAGGGATATGTCAGTTTGAAGGGGCGTTCTATTGATTGGGGATTTGAATTTACAAATCTGCATATCAAAGAGAGGTGCAAGTGTCATGATGAAGAGATCACTCACCGGTTGGATCTCCTCGAGCCATCCATCTCCCGTCTTGGCCCAGGTGGATTGGGCCAACGTTCGCAAGGCTTGCTACTTCGATAAAGCTCTCCCAGTGTATGTCCAAGGCATCGGGTCCACAACTGCAAGACTCGTCCTTTTGGCTCTCGGCAAGCTGCAAACGGAATTCAATCTCGGCAGCGGTTGCGTTTTGAGATTTTTCACTGGTATAAAAAGTGTATTCTCCTTTGGATGGAATCCACACATTTTTGACTGTCATTTTGCCTTGTGTGAGCGTTCCTGTCTTATCGGAGCAGATGTCTGAGCAGTAGTGAGTAAGTTGAGAGAGACGTTAGCTGGGTATTAACCCACTTGTTACCGCGCCCAAGGCCTCTAACGATCTCAAGTTCCGCACAATAACGTTCCTAGCAACCATCCTTCGGGTCCCGGCCGCCATTGTAATCGTAAGGACAACGATCAGCGATGCCGGGATCATGCTGAGCCCGGTCGCGACAGCGTAGATAACCACCTCTCGCTCGTTGGAGAATTTGTTGACCGCAAGCACAATAATAGCGCAGACAATGGCAGAGACGAAGAGAAATAGGGCCAGCTTGGAAAGCTTCCGCTGAAGTGGCGTGCCACCCGACGTACCCAGAAACCGCCCGATAAGCTCCTTCAAGAAAGCGCTCCATGAAGTTAAGTATTTCAGTAAACCGCGTCGTTTGTCGATGTCATTCTGGGCTTGCGTGCGAGATTTGTCTCGCAGGGCAGAGGCAATTGCTCCAACTTCAGTGTATTTCCCGGTGGCAAAAACAACTCCGGTGGCTCGACCCTTTGTAACTCTTGACGAACCGTATGCGATATTGATACGATCTCCGAGTCCAACGGGACTGTCCAAGGTTACCACCGGGTCCTTTCTGATCGGCAAAGATTCTCCGGTCAAGAATGCCTCATCAACCTCAAAGTTGACAGCCTCCAGGAGTCTGTATTGTTAGCAACGGCGGTGCCGTTGAGACGAATGACCTACCGGACATCGGCGGGCAAAAGATCTCCCATCCTCATCTCTACCAGATCCCCAGGTACAATTTCGGCTGTGACTACTGTTTTCGTCTCGCCATCCCTGACTACCTTTGCGGTCGGAGAACAAAGGGCCCTCAAAGACTCCATTGTTTTTTCGGCGCTGTAATCTTGAAAAAAACTAACAGTGATGTTCAGGAGGATAACAAACGCAATGACACCACCTTCAATCCAGGATCCGATTCCGAAGCTCACCGCCATGGCGAGGATAAGAACCTTTCAACCTGTGTCAGTTCAAGGAAGAGATCAAGTCTTTCAAGATCGAGCAGCTCACCAGGGTCATGGCGTTTGCAGTTTGATGGATCAGGATCTTAATCGGATATACTCCACCAACTTTCTCGAGTTCATTCCGTCCAAATTGGAGAAGCCGCGCTGCAGCTTCATCTTGATCGAGTCCTCGCGTAGCATCTGTCTTGAGCTCCCCAGTGATGGAAGAGGTAGAGAAAGAATATGCAGGCCGTGAGAGCATAATGAAGACCGAAATTACTCTTGTAACAGTGTTGAATACTACTGGAGGGATTCCGTGAATTCCTGGATTCACTGATGAGCGAGATAATAAAGGGGTTGTAATAGAATACACGTACCGCTTTAGAGCATACATATTGTCTGGTGTGCTTTGTATATTCCTATGCTCAGGATATTCTTTCACGTTTTATTCCGATAGTTTCCCGAAGTCGATCGACTTTGCTTCTCGCTGTACGTCTACTTCACGGAGGCGGAAATTCTTGGCAAGATGGCTGGTTCTTGGCATGAAGGAATTTAGACTAATCGCAAGGCTGTAAGATAGCACGTTGTTTCACGCTAGCTACGACTCCCCCAGTCTGAAGCTCTTTCACTCTGGCAGTATTGCAGCTAGCAGCAGGTGTTTCTCCTCCTTTTTGGTCTTGTTTTTCTTGTCTTGATACAGTGGTTCGAAGGTCGCACCACAGCGTCGGCGTTCAGACTTGCCAAGGACAACGGGGAGGGAAGCGGGATGCCGCGAACCCAGTAACGGAATCGATGTATAGATATAATCATACGACCTACCGGTTAGCGCCTTAGCAGTCGTGACAGCAATGTTAGGAAAGTTCAATATTATCCTCGCTTGGGACGGGCATGAAAGTGGTCAGGAGAAAGTTGGATGTTCGATGAGACCAGGACACCGGCCCTCTCGATGAATATCAGGAGATAGAGCGGCATTTTCTTTAGGGGTACATGGACAAATTCACCGAATATAAGCCATCGGACACAGCATAAGCCTGCTGGAGCCCTCAACGAGTCGTCAAACTACTCGCTGAACTCCAATTCCTTCAGGAAATTTCAAAGCCTGAGCAGACAAGATGATCCTTCACGCTTATGACTACATCTTTGCACTTGGTGTTATGTTTGCATTCTTTGATGCTTGGAATATAGGTACGCCCACTCAGCAGAGATGTTGTAGCTTCAATTTTGACGACATCTAGGCGCAAATGATGTCGCCAATTCCTTTGCCACGTCTGTCTCGTCGCGTTCTCTTACCATGAGGCAAGCCATCGCGATCGCAACGGTTATGGAGCTTGCTGGCGCGATCGGAGCTGGTGCTCGAGTAGCAGAAACAATCCGCACGAAGATCATTGACCCCAACCTATTCAAACAGGATCCCGCAGTCCTGATGCTGGGAATGGTGTGCGCACTCGTTGGTTCGTCGAGTTACGTCTTCATGGCAACAAAGTTGGGTCTTCCTGTCTCGACGACGCATTCAATCATGGGCGGCGTGATCGGCATGGGCTTCGCAACTGTTGGGGCATCCGAGGTAACATCATCCCTCAGACATCATCAAAGCAAGCAATTATGCTAATGAGCGACAGATTAATTGGGGATGGAATGGTGTCGCCACTGTCTTTACCGCATGGGGAACAGCCCCAGGAATTGCAGCTGTATTTGGAGCGACCGTATTCCTCATCACCAAGTACGGGGTTATGCTTCGCAAGAATCCGGTTCGGAACGCATTCTTCTCCATCCCTGCTTACTTTGTCGTTACAGGTTCTCTTATCGCAAGTGAGTGTCTCGTTCATGCACTCTAAGGTTGGAGACACCGTTAATTTTGCCCCAGTGTTGATCATTTGGAAGGGCGCTTCATCTCGCCTCAACTCATTGTCTGACGGCGAAATAATCGGCTGCATTATTGGCACGGGCTTTGGAGTTGGCTTGTTGGTCATCATCTTCTTCCTGCCTTACCTTTGGGTCAAAGTTGTCCGCGATGACTGGCAAATAAACTGGCACTACATCCCCTTGGGGCCTTTTTTGCTTAGGCGTTCTAAAGACATTCCACCAAAGCCCGACAACGTTTCTAGCATCCAGAATTACTATCGGGGTCATCTCACACGTCAAGAGCTGGACTGTCGGAATCATCAACAGGACGTCGAAGCCAATACCAACCAGGGACACGAGAATGCAAAAGAGCACAAAGGCTCTCCTCAACCCCTAGAGAGCCCCAGCTATACCATTGTTGGCCCTAAGCCTGACGGCAAGTGGTATACTCATTCTGTCCTGTGGTGGGCCCTCAAAAAGGCTTTCTGGCACGGAATTGACCAAGATGTCATTGACGCTCAGAAGAAGCGCAACATTCTTTCAGGAGATGTCGAAGAAATGCATGCCCGTGCTGCCCACTACGACAATAAAGCGGAGTATATGTATTCGTTTCTGCAAGTCATGACTGCGTCTGCCGCATCTTTTACCCATGGCGCGAATGATGTCTCCAATGCCGTGGGACCTTTTGCCACGATTTTCTACATCTGGCAAAACGGCAATATCGACAAGTCCAGCCCAGTACCAACGTGGATATTGGCGTTCGGCGGCATGAGTATCGTGCTCGGTCTTTATATGTATGGGTACAACATCATGAGGAATCTCGGCAATCGGATTACCTTACATTCACCATCTCGAGGCTTCTCCATGGAGTTGGGGGCAGCTATCACCGTCATCATTGCGACGAGACTCAGTGAGTCCAGAAGGGTGTTTGTCCCGCCATGAAACATCGCTGACGTCTAGAACAGAAATCCCAATCTCAACTACTCAATGTATATCTGGAGCTACTGTCGCCGTCGGCCTATGCAACGGCAACTGGAGGTCGGTGAATTGGAGAATGGTTGCGTGGATCTACGCGGGATGGATCTTCACCCTACCAATCACAGGGTTGATCTCTGGTTGTTTGATGGCTATTATTATTAACGCACCCCAATACGGACATTCGGTTCACGCTTAAGATGAGAGATTATCATTCGAAGTGCTTTACGGAATGGTGGTGGAATTGTCTATACTAGTCAAAAGCTAAAACCCTTATGCGGTGTTCGTCTTTCGTCACTGGTTAATGCTATTGATTCTATCCACCATCGTGAACATGCTCATTGGAGCTTTCTTCGATCTTTCATATTTCCCTGACATTAGGGATGGTTTAGTCGGCTAATATTTTAACTTTCCGGTATTACTATGCAAGCTGCCAAAAATTTGGGTGCGCAGGATCTGCGTGGTGAAAAGTGTCCTCGTTCTCGTCATGATCGCCTCCGATGTCTGAATCCTCAACTGGCGTTTTGTATATTGCGAGGGTGAACTCGCTACATCTGGAACGAGGTCCAAGACCGAGGGTACGACTGTTGTTCTCTAAGCAATACATTTCTCCAGGGTAAGCACAATGTTTCTCTCCAGATTCCTCTGAACCTCATCATGGGCTTTGCTGGTATCTATCTGAAGCTCTCGCAGGAAGGTTTCAATGGCACTATGATTGATCTCCGTCGCTAGCCCCTCGTTCCCAAGATCGCTCGTCACGCACCTAGCTACAACTCTCGTGAAAATTTCGCCGACCTCAGGTTCCAGCTTCCGTATCTGGTGAATAATGGCCTGCTGGAGGTCGACGCGACTGGTAGGCTCCTTCTCGTCAGCCTCGGTCCATTCTTTCAAAATCGAGAAGAGGTCCATCCATAGTCCCACCTGCAGCAGCAAGATGCCGAGGCTGTAGATGTCGAAGATCTCCACATAGCGCTGGCTCCTGGTGAAGTTGTAGGCAGGATGAGCATAACTCAGGTCGCACTCCCGGAGCTCCATGTCGTCAGAGACAAACCGTGTCATGTGCAGCCGAGCATAGTCGAAGCCAACAATGTACGGCCGAGACAAGTCATACTCAGGTTTGGGTGAGAGTCTGAAGAACACGATGTTCTCGGGTTTCAAGCCTTTGTGCAGGATCCCGCAAGCCTGAAGGAGAAGCAAGGAGCTCGCCAGCGAACGGGCCAAATCAAACCGAGTACCCAGTGGAGGTTTCTTGAGACTGTTGGTGCCAGAAGGAAGGATTTCAGCGAGTGAGATTGGCTTCTGGGTTGGATCTGCCCAGGTCGGAAAGTTGTAGATGAAAGTGAAGCACCCCCTTTGACGCATTGGCACATATCCCAGGCAGTCCAGGATACGGAGCTTTTCCGGCTTGGGGGTAACTGCGAGGATCTGTGAGATCTCTTGCACTCGTTTCTCAGTAAACTCTCCGTCGTTGTTGGAGGCGTAAGATTTGTCCTCGAGAACCACCGTCTGTTGACTGCCGCCTCGCGGAGAGTAGGTCGCGAGCCTCCTGCTTGCCAGAGCGCCCGGTTCCTTGTTCATGACCGTGGCCATGCCTCTTCGCATCGGCGACTTTGGATCTGGAGGATTTTGGCCACCCTTGATGGTGTCGAGTACCTCCTTCTTGATGGCTGCGCATCTATTCAAGTCAGGCTCGCCCTCGGCAGACGCTTCTATAAGCCGCTTGAGGTTGTCGTCGTCGAGGACTTGAGAAGGACCCTGGATGGCAATGTTGAGAAAGTAGCTCGTTGCATATCTCCACTTGCTGCCCGGAGATCTTCATTGAATTTTCGAAGGTCGTCGATCAGTGACTTAGCAAGCTGTGCATCCCCAGCTGCCCAAAGCAGCCGTTTGATGCGATTTCTTCTGCTGATGGTTCGGGATCGATCGTCGGCGGATTTTCCTGACGCGGACGGTGCAAACTTCCAGAATTTATCAGGTAACGCAAAGTGCAGACTGGTCACTTCGCCTCCCTCGTCCAGCTCGTACTTGTCGATGAGACCACCAAGACTTTTCAACGTGACTAGACCTCTGGTAAGCGGACTCAGTCACCAGATCTATGGTGGCGGTGATTACTCACGCTTGATGGCTTGCAACGTGTCGAAGACAACCTTTTGCATGACTGGTCTAAGCGACCTGTTTGGACCTGAGTCACTTAACCATCCGGCGTCTTCCAGCCATGCTTGGAACTTCGCTTGCTCAATAACGGTCTTGTAGACAAGGAGGACTCCTTCGTCTCCCATACGCCTTGCCGTGACGGTGAGCTCGTAGATCTGGGCGCAAGCGGTCACTAGACCAGGAAGGCCAGTTACGAAGCTGATACCCTCCATTGCCATGGACCCTAATCCCAAGGCCCTCAGCAAGAGCTGACAAGACCCACGAACTTTTGTCACAGGGAAAGTGAAGAACTGCGGGTTAGAAGTTCTGCTGCGAGAGAGATCGGTTAACTTCGTCCAGTGAGTGATCGCGGCCGAAAATGTGAACACTGCTGCTTCAGTGGCCACCTCTCCCGTGGAGTCTGCTCGTTCAGCTGCTGCGCAGATAACGCTAGTTCGTTAGCCACAAATGAGAAAGGTTGTTCTATTTATATGCGCTAGCGCCTATTGATGCCTAGAAGACCCGCTACAATATATTCTTTTATGTGAGCGTCGATTGGCAGCAGGGGTGGAAGGTTTCTGAGATCTGTCGAGGCTGTTGTAAAGAGGAACCATGAATAAACAACCGAGTCTTTTCGTCATTTGTGATTGGCGTTCACTGTGTTCTTGGCGTTCCGTACCTTGTCCGTACCAAGCTATGACACGTGACGGGTCTTGGCGCCCATTGACCGTCTCGCTGTTCGCAGGAAATTGGACATTCTTGGGTAGTTCGGCACTCTTCCTAAGAGACTCAACCAGTCTTTCCGTATAATGGCCATATGGAGGCAGGTTTATTGGAATGCGGAGTAGGGAGTACTGCTCTAATATTTCGTTGATGAATCTCAGCACCCTTGCACGAATCCGTTGCCCTAGCCGGGCAAGCGGAGCCTGAAGGAACTCTATGAAGACTACTTTACCAGGGATCGTGAAGGTTGAGAAGGACACAATATGGCGTGTGTTCTACTTCAATCCACGACTCCTAGCCCGGGCTCGTCCTCTCGAGATACTTGCGGAACTCGAAAACGATCTTGCCAGTAAGCAGGGACCTGATATACCAACTCCAGAATCTATGGAATCCACTGTCGAACTGTTACCAAATATCAGAACACCCGGGATTACCCAGGACACTTTGGACCAACTATCAGTTTCTTGAGTCTGGCACGATACCCAGAATCCGCAAATTCAGCCGTTGGAGTATTCATGCTTGTTGGCGTTTCCTCGCCATCACCTCTCAATGCATCCGGCATCGAGAGTCAATCAATCCCTGAACGGCTTGCGTAATCCGGTTGAATATGAAGCACAGACTCTCAGCACATCGAAGTTTCATATTCTTCTCAAGGAACTTGACGTCCAGGTCTTCCAGGACCTTTCTGGTCTTTTGAGGGATGAGAAATATCTCACCTCCGGCGCTTCTTTTGACATCTCTGTTGCGATTGCAAGGTCAAACTCCCAGTTTCAGCCATTCTCTGATGGAACAGCTCGACCTCGCTGGATTGAAGGTTCAGTGATAGCGCTCAAGAGGCTTAAGCCTCCACGAACAAGGCCAGGAATAAGAGAATCTACCCAGTTTCCGCGGATTCATCGCTCATTGATACATGAGCTCCGAATTCTGAGTCATACTTCTCTGCGAAATCATAGGAATCTCATCAACCTCTTCGGTATCGCCTGGGAGAGGCACCAGGATGTCAGCGGCATTGACTACATGAGACCTGTGGTTGTACAATCATGCGCGACACGAGGAAACCTGCGAGACTATCTGCGCGCTAAGACGGATGACAAGGAATTGCCATGGCGAACCAAAATGCTCTTCTGTAAAGATATTCTGGATGGTTTGGTCTTTCTACACGCGAGCAATGTCATTCACGGCGATATCAAGTGCGACAACATTCTCCTCGAGGAAGACTCCAATACACGGCTGGTGGCTAAGCTGACAGATTTTGGGTTTTCCGTCATTGTTCCCTTAAGTGTTCGCGGAGCACCAATTCTGGAGGTCGAAATGCTGAGTGGGACTGAAGAGTATATGGCGCCAGAAGCGTTCATCGCAAAGCAGAACGGGACTATGACATTGTCGACGAGCGTAGCATTCAGTTCTGACATCTACGCCTTCGGGCTTACTGCATGTGAGATCGCTCTCAACGGTCAATACGTTTTCTCCGCTGTGTTGAGTCCCAGCGAAGCACCTGAAGTCACCCCATCGGCGGATCAAGATAGTAAATCAGCGGAGGCCTGGATCAAGTCCAAGATAAGAGACAATGCCGATGACCTGCTACTTCGTCCCCTCAAAACCCTCATCGACCATGTGGAGGGAACGGATGAGTATCGGCTTTCCGAGGTGCTTGATATGACTTTCAGGCGTCGAGCCGAAGACCGTGCAACGGATATCGCCACCATAAGAGCTGTAATGGTTGGCTACGATGAGGAGGCGACTATTCCCACAGCCGGGAGCCCGGTATCGCTAGACAAAAGGTATGTCTCATCTGTCTACTCCGCAGTCACTCTTCTAAATCGACAGTTCAAACTTGTCTCTCTCCTTTTTGTTCAAACAGAGATACGAGATATTCAACGTCAATGGGCAGCCTGTCCAGCTCAACGTCCATGATGCATCAGTAAGGATAGCAATGGATTCATATCAACGCCGCCTAATGCTGCTACGTATCCCTACTGAGAAAGCTAGATTCGGCTCTCTCCTCACAGATTCTGCAAGACTTGAAGGTCAAAGCCAGCCCTGCTGTTTCTCTACAGGCCACAAATATCCACAAGATGAATACGCTGTCACTGAGTGATGTTGCCTCAGTCTCCTTTTGCGCTTACCAGATGTTTATATGTCATTTGCACGGCTATGGCGTACCTTTTGATTTCGAGACGGCCGTCCAGTACCTCAAAGCTAGCGCTCATGGAGGCTATGTGCCAGCTCTCGTGGCTGTTTCGAACTTCCGAGATCTAAAAGTGGATCCTCTCTTCGCCAGAAACGACCGTATTCAAGATGCACTCGAGGCTCAAGTATCCAGTGGCCCACGGTTTGGAATGCTCCTGTGGCTTGTAGCATGCCGCACCCTCCGCCGTGATGACCCTGAAGCCTATCAAAGAAGTTTCCAGAAACTCAATAGCAGTGGCTACGCTGAACTTGGCGAAGCTCCAGACTGCTACACACAGCTAGATGCCGAGACCTTTGCAGGTCCAAGTGTCGAATACCAGTGGATTGCGCGAGGGACAATGCCTCTGGTTCTTCGACTCCTGCCCGTCCTTTCCGTCCAAGAGTTCACCATGGGCTTTGAGAATGGCTGTTTTCCCAGTGGGGCCGTCAACTACAACAACGAAACTGCCTTGTATATGTGCTGCCGTGCTGGCGAAAAGGAGAAAGTGCTTGCGCTCTTGGATACATATGAATGGGCTCGGACGAAAGTCACAGTTGCCAATAAGCAGGGCAGGTTTCCATTGCATTGGCTGTGGGCATTTGAGCGAGATGATCCGCAAGCGGTGGCCGAAGCTCTCCTATCCAACGGCGCCGATGTGGACGCCATAGACGAGGACGGTTTCAGAGCCATCGACTATGCTATTGTAGCGCTTTGTCCGGATGTTGTATCACTCTTGCTAACCAAAAGTGAGGCCATTTCTGAGAAACTACGGCGCCAGTTCACTGACTAATACGCAGTGATCGACATTTTCAAAGGACCAGAAAGACTTGGTAAGGACCTTCTCACCCTGATTCGTGCGATCGACTGTGGTGAGCCAACCACGACGATTGGACTTCTCCAAAAAGCTGGAAACGAGATCGTCGAAAAAGCGTTCCGTGGAGCTGCTCAGGGAGAAGCAGCTTCAAGGTTCCTACAGTTTGGGAACGCCTTTCAGGAACGACTCGTTTCCCTAATAAAGGCAGCTAACCACCAAGTCGGACCGACTAGTTCCACCACAAGCATGTTCGAAACAGTCCTTATTGTGGCCATTGCAGCTAGAAGTGTCGACTTTGTAGAAGCATTGTTGGATGCCCAGGTCGTTGCGCAGTTCAGTTCAGCAAAATGGTCGATGGTAGCATTGACCTCCGCGGCGGAGTGGTCCCAACTTGACGTCTTCAAGAAGATTCTCAAGATCTCTGCTCCTCTATCCCTTGACGATGCACACACCGTGCTTGGTCTAACAATCCAATACAAGGGACACTCACAGCTTGCCATCGCATTGGCATTCATCGAGTATTTGGATGAACACGGCACCATAAAAGAAGTAGTCAATTATCGAGAACCCTCTGCCTGCGCCCCATTCTGCGATAAAAAACACGATCACTTCTTTTATCCAACCCAGTTCTGGAATGCCGTGGATGAAAGAGCATACGATATTGCAAACATACTTGCTTCATATGAGGATACCGAGGCTGATGGGTTGCCTACCACGCTGTTCCATGTCATCAAAACTCTCAAAGCAAATATGCTGAGCCAGCTACATTTTCTCTTCAATCTCGGCCCGCAGCACAGCAAGTATGTCTGTGACCCGGTGAGGGGTGTCAACGCTCTTCACGTCGTGGTGGAATCGTCCGGTTCGTGGGCAAATTGGCCTCTTTCACAATCCCAGACTCGTGCTGACGACTTCAGTACATTAGAGCAACAAAGCTGACTTCAGATCCGTGCTCAAAACAGTCCTCGAATGGTTCGCCGAGATGGGGGAGGACATTAATGCACCAGACAAGAATGGTGCCACAGCACTACACTTTGGGGCATTCTGCCCGAGTCTCGACGCCGTAGAGCTGCTGATCCGGTATGGCGCAGATCCGGGTGTCATCGACTCGAGGGGCCTTACCGCATACGACATGGCTCTTGGTCTTGCCCGCTATGCCGCAACTCAAATGTCGGAGTTCACGGGCCAGGGAGTCACCAGCGTGGTAACGATGAGGGAGCGACGGCCTCGAGAAACTGACGAGCGCAGAGCAACTGTGGAATTCACTCGCCAAATGTGTGGAATCTTTGTTCAACTGAGCAAACCTGGAAGCCAATGGCGGCCAGAGGATGCAGTTGGACTCGTCGAGGATCCACCGCCGCCTGATGGCGTTGTAAAGGGGCTAGTTCCGATCTCTGCGAGTATTCTCTTCAGCGAGTGCAAGGAGTACGAGGCGGAGAACGTACCTCTTCAAGCTTGGGCTCGTCTTGAGGAAGGTAAGGTGGGATTCTGCGTGAACATCAGACTGCTCGATGAGTTCACGCGAGACCAGCTTATGTTCGTCGCGATGGAGACCCTGCATGGGCGGGACGGATCGATTTGCCAGGAATTCACGATGTCGCCATATCTTTACCGCAACGAAATCTATCCGGTTAGACATTAGGGTGTTGTTTGAGCTGAATTCTCATCGAGGACTGTTAAACTATGATTAATCGTGGTTCTATCGGGGTCGATACGCGATCGATCCTTAAGTGGAGGGTCGTGTACTACGACTAGAAGTACTGCATAGTATGTAGTACCTTTTGGTAGGTGCTTCCTGGAGTTGATGGCCTTTCGGCAAACAAGCAAAGGGTTCCCAAAGGTGCTTGCTTCGCAACAGCTTCCACGTGGAGGCAACAAAGGCCGATGATCATTATCTCCTTTCGTGTCCAGTGTTACTAGCACGCCGGATGTATATGAGAACGATCTCAACAGCTGGCTCTTCATTCCCATCTACCTAGTCCACAACACCGCCCCTCCACCGACTCCATTCCTCCTCAACGGGTTCTCGCCCCCTTTGCCGTCCTCAGCCTCGCTCACATAGCCAACAAGCTCCTTGAAGCCGCACTTGCGGTAGAATTCTTCCTTGCCCGCGGCAGCCATCACGCACGCGGGCAGATCCGCGCCCGTCACCGGATCACGTCGCGCCAGGTGTTCCAGCCCGTACTCGACGAGCTCCCGCCCGTAGCCCCGCCCTTGGAAAGTCGGGTGCACGGCGAGGATCTCAAGCGACCAGTGGGTCAGGCGGTGCGGCGCGTCCATGAACTGCGTGCTGAATGGGAGCAGCAACGCGCCCAGCGCCCAGTACGTGAGTGGTCGCGGGTTCTCCGCCGTTGGACGGACGGCGGCTTTGTTGGGGAAGAGGATGAGCCTCCGGAGTCGGTAGTATGTGGACAGGATGGGCTTTATCAAGAGGCCTGAGGGCGCATGTCAAACACGATGTTAGTTAGTCATTCCACACAGCACTTTCAATAAATCAGTGGTTGCATTGGGGGATGGATGGCTTCTTCGAACTCACGCGGATCCCAACGTCCCCAGAGTCTATGGACGCGGAACGATCCCTCCCCAGCCCGTTCCCATTCAGCGATGCCAGTGATGGTGTGGCCTGGTCCTCTGACGGTTGACTTGCCCGTCGGCCTCGGCGACGGTAGCAAGGCTTGTCGCTCATCATCTGCGTACCCGTCTTGCTGACTGACTGTCTCAACACCATCACTCTCGACCTCATACGAGACCATCAACACCTTCCGGTAGTTGTACCATGACAGCCAGAGGCTCTCGCGCAGCGCCCGTTCAAAGTCCTCCGGATGTTGTTGCTGGAAAGGAAACATGACTTGGAAGAGGCGATCCGGCCCGAAAGATGCTGCGAGAACCGCGGCCATGACGGGAATGTCGGCCGCTGCGGCGCGCCGGACAGGCATATTGGGGGGCCAGGGTCTTTTCCGGATACGGCCTTTTTCTCTGGCTTTTTCACCGATGACCGGGAAATAGTTCCAGTACTTGTAGTGGTAGTGCGTAAGAACTTAAAGGAGGAGTGTAAGAAATGCTCTCATGGTATCTGAATGCCCTCCTCCTAGGTACCTTGACTGGCTGTTAGACAGGCAGGCAGGCAGGCAGGCAGGGGCCCCTTATTTCAGAGTTACAGCTTTTGTACCGAGTACTGTAAATGGGTGGATTCGATGGATCTTGACTCCTGAAATGTTATCTTTCAGTGTTACGGGGTGGCACGAATAGTACGAGGTCCTCGTCGGCTTTTACGAGTAAATAGTAGTACTTGTAGTTCATTTCGCCAACATCCTGGTCCGCTGCCCTTACCGAGCCATCACGCACTACTGCTAGTCCGGGTCTAGTGACTAGCCCCCTTCGCAAAGAATGTCACACTCACTCTCCGCCATGGGGTGCTGAGGGCTGGGTGGCTTGGGGCCCCCCGGTTAGTTAATTGAGTTAGATCGGTCACTTCTGCCCCCCGGGCGGCGTTTTTGCCACGGAAACGATTCTCATTCCCCCCCCGGATGTTGAAAACCTTATTGTTAAAGTCGACTTCCTTCAGTCGCAGTCAGCGCCCCCCCTGGCCCCCAGCCTTAACGGCCATTTTCGACAAGACGCGGCGGAATAAGTTTTACTGTGGCTGCAATATCGCTCAACGGGATTTCCCCCGACTCGGCAATAGACCGTTGTAGCGGGAAAAGGGGCGCCAAAAGGGGAGACTCGTACGGCTCTGGATCGAACGGCGCGGACGCGAATTGCAAGTAGCAGTGATCCCTAGGTAGATTAATATTTAACGTTGGGAGGCTCTGAAGAGGCTCCGGGCCTCACTAATGCGGTTCTTCTGAGAATGTTGGCTATGTCTTTCTCTTCGACACGATATCCGCCTTTGATTCGGGCGTATTGGTGTCAACAAATCTGTGTATAGAGTTGGATATTCGTTTGTCCAGGCTTGAGACGCCGCAGGACATGAACTTATAAAGCCGCCTATCAATCCAACCCGTTCTATGATGCAATAACAAAACAGGGAAAGAAGTCGGGTCAGCGATGTCCTCCATCGGAAAGCATGCCTCCTGTCCAGGGAGGGAATGTCCTCCCCCTTATACCAAACTTCTCCCAGGGTAAACTTTTGGGTAATGATGCCCAACGCGACGCCATGGATGAAGAGACACTTAATTCATCGTTGTTCGTGACGAATTGTGTATTCTACGTCCTTGCGAATGATGAACTCGTCGCTGTTATGCCTCCCAAGTGAGCCTTCTTCGTGCGAAGCATTCGATCTGCCGTCATTGTTGATGCCGTCATTGTTGATGCCTTCATTGTGCGGGCCCTCGACGCTCGCGTGATACTGTGTGTGACTAGGAGGGCAGAAATTGATGCCCGTGCTCTTTCCCAAGACCTCGTCGGCCTTGTCATTTTCCATCCGTGTGTAGTTCTTCGTGTCCTCGGTTTTGGACCGCTGAGCACCGAGCGAGTCCATTTGGTAGGTGCGTCCGCCAGAGCCGTATTGGCCGGCATTGTATCCAAACACGGTTGCTTGCGTTGTGTCGAACTTGCGGAGGTACTGATTCAAGGCCGGGATAGCAGCGGAGAGTAAGGAGTAGACGACCTCAGCCTGGCGAAAAAGAACAGGTCGTGTGAGCGCGATGCCGGCGTTAGATGCTGAGTTGAAGTCTGAGACGTATTTGATTTGGAGGCAGATAAGGATAATGATCCTGCGGCCGGTTAGCATGTGTTTGTGCGGGCTCATGTAAGTTGTTTTCCCCTACGGTAATCGGAGAACAAAGCACATGGACGCTTGAACCTTTCTCTGAACACTCATATGCAATGGAAAGATGACGATGACGGAAAGACCCCAAATGATTAGTTCTAGCAGCGCATCGAACAAGCCAATGATGGTCCAGCGTGTGACCTGTACTTCGGTCAACGATTCTTCTATAGCAGTAGCAGTGTTCTTGGGGTAAACTCACCAGTCCCGAGCACTTTTCCGTGCTCGATCGAATGACTTCGCTGGATGTACATCCGGCCGTGACTGTGATGGTGGATCCAATCCACCATATTCCACAGAGAGCAATAGTTATTTCGCAGTACAGATGTTTCTGATGCTGTCCAACGGCGAAAAGGCGCCTGCAAAGCCAGACGGCGGAGCATTTGCCAACGAAGAGGGCTAACAGGAAAAGAACGTCTCCTGCTCGAAGCGACTGGTAATCTCCATCAGCCCGAATCTGCATTCACTGTGTGTCTTCGGGGTGTACCTTGGCGACAGTTTCTGTATCCCTAGGGGAAAGCAGCGAATACGAAGAACCAAAGCCACCGTCGACTGTTGCTACCATGATGGATATGAACTGTGGAACTGCGATAGCCTGCCGATCATCAGCTTCCCGTCCAGAAATACAACAGAAATGTCAATGAACAAACCGTGGCAGCGACAGAGAGCCAGTCTTCGATGCCCATATTCTTGAACTTGCTCACCAGGCGCATTCCTAGCACCATGAGGGAGTAGACCATGAATAAAATGCTCATTGTCAAGACGATGCCCCGATGGTCATTGTCGGTGTGGTGGTAAGGGCGCGGGCCCAAGGCGGGCACCTCACCTGCAGACACACTCATATTGATGGCTGAGGCTCGAGATCATTGAAGGTACCTCTTCCGGCAATGTCGGGGTACTATATGTGAGGATGCAAACTCCCAACAGGGTGCAAGCGAGTAGCCAGTTGTCTTTGGCACTGGGCTATGACACTCCATCATCTGAGAGACTGCAAGGTTGGGCGCAACGCTAGCGCAGGAGATCTTTTCCTTACCTTGTTTGTACCTTGGGCCAAAGACTTTGGTGACTGGCTCCTGACTGGCCATGGACGACATGATACCTTGTCGACATGGGACTCTCTGGGCCAGGGTCCGAAACTGCAAAACTCCTCCTTTGCAGCGTGATGCCTTGTATGTTTTGCCTCTACTCAGCTGATGGCCCCAAGCAGGCCGCGCCATCAAGGTACGCTATGCAAAGTTAGCTTCCCGTAGGATATCCCCTTGAGCCGAGGATGGGCCACTGAGTCTTCAGTTTTGCTTCAGCCGACTTGAACCCATGTATGCCCAGGATGGGTAACGAGTGGTTAGGGAAAACACTGGGCGCTGGCAGAGGCGCCTCGGCAGGACTAGGAAATTTTTACCAACGTAACCCAGGATGCTATCGGCTCTTAAAATTGCTGTCGAGTGAACCGGTTTTTCCATGTATGGTGCAGAGGGAGTCCTCGTGCGTACTTCGAGTTCAAGCACACAGACCAGTCAGTCGCCCTTATGCACGGGAACCCACTTGCCATTGCCCCGGCGTATCTTCCCTCAGCCACTGCCGCCCAACTGCGGGCCGTGATTGTGACGGGGGCAGGATGATCAGCGCGGAAACCCACCTAGACAGGGAATGATGCCCTACCATTCGCCTCTCAAAACATTAAAGCCGAAGGCGGTCATGGATACCGCCGCGCCGTCCGCGGCCTAGGTCGAGAGGAAGCGAGTTTTCTCTTGCGGAGCTTGCGCCATCCTGTCTGTGCTCATGAGAGATAATAGTTCGCTCGACAACCGCCCGTATTGCCGTCATACCTAGCGGGCGATATACCTACGGTAGAACGAAAATATGCCATCCTCTGTGAAATATCCCCAAATGTTGATCTGAAACCCCTGCTGCGGTGACATATATATTTACGCGGTGTAGGTTTCGGCGGTTTCGGCGGTTCCGCCAAGTACCCAACACGCCTCTCTGGCACGTTCAAGAGACGAGATGATGTTTTGGAGTCTCGAGCTCGAGCAAATGTGACAGTCAGTCGCTACAAGGGAGATTAACTTTTTCCGTCAAGTACTCGGTACAAGGATATGGGGCCTTCCCGGCGGATTTTCCGTCCTTGTGAGCCCTAGGGCATCCTCATACTCCGCACTTTTCCTAGCCTCGCACTTGGCCAGGTTTTGACGCTGGCTGGAGACTCGTCTATTTCCCCTACTGTATGTGCTCCGTACTGTTCTTTGGATGCGCTTCCAGGGTAGCAACCGTTCAAACTGATCGACGCGGCACCATGTGGCCAGGGAGCGTCAAGGGACAGGACCCTGCGGAGGTCATTTCTCTTCCGGTCAAGACTCAACAGCAAGGGATGGGTGGTGGATACACCGAGATAGTGACCACAAGATCACAGGGATCTCAGTGGTGGACTAGCTTTAGTAGCTCATGCAGCTGTGTTGGCCACAGTCGTCTGGGATACTGATATCCCGCCTCGCGGCCAATCAGCCACCCATTTTCCTCGACTAGAGAAGCAACCGACCAGTTTCCATGTGGCTTAATCTCGCCGCGTGGAATGAGGTCTTGCTGCTCCGTGAAATAGTCAGAAGTAGGACCCTTCGCTTGAAGGATCGGTCTTCTTCCAGGCCACGCTTCCAGGTCCTGAAGAGACTCGACAGGTCTTTCCATCAGTTGAACTACTGAGCCTCGTGCCTCGTGCCATGTGGGGATTGGGGGGTTCCTTAACCGGGAAAGGTCACCCTGCAGAAGACTTCTTCGAGGAATCATGACCTGTTCTACCCCCTCTCTCCATGCGATCTTCTCTCTGTTCTGCTTTTCTTTCTTTCTTTCTTTCTTCCTTTTGCAACCGTTTCACAGCACAATCTTACGAAATGGACAAGTCCATCCCATACAGCATTGACCCCACCGAGGACGTCAACGACGATGGCGTCGTCCTCGGTGAGAAGACGGGAACGGTGGCAGACAGGAATGCTATGGCGCGATTGGGCAAAGAACAGGTCTTCAAGGTCAGTGAGCAGCATTACTTGGTCTCGGATGCGAGTCTCTGACCAGGTGAATAGCGTAACTTTGGTTTCGTGTCTATCTTCGGCTTTGCTCTCATCATCATGAGCACCTGGGAGACGATTCTGTCGACTCTAGCCTTCGGATTGGGCAATGGCGGCCCTGGAGGACTTATCTGGACCTTCGTCGCGGTGTACATTGGATTCATTCTTATCAGTGTTTCAATGGCCGAAATGGCCTCCATGGCTCCCACCTCGGGTACGATTGCTTTGGGCATTTCTGGAGAAGACCAACGCTGACATATTTGTGCAACAAGGCGGTCAATATCATTGGGTCTCTGAATTTGCTCCTCCAAGTGTCCAGGCATTGTTGTCGTATTTCATCGGGTGGTTTGGCATCCTCGGTTATCAGATTGGAACAACTATCGGCGCATTCGTTGCTGGGACGATGATCCAAGGCGTCATCATCTTGAACAATCCCGATACGTATGCACCTCAACGATGGCATGGAACCTTGATCGCGATGGCCATCACCATTTGTGTGGCCCTATTCAATATTTTCCTCGCGAACCACCTTCCATTGGTCGAGGGAATCATCCTGGTGCTTCACATTGCTGGGTTCGTGGCTATTGTGGTACCTCTCTGGGTTATGGCTCCACGTACTCCAAGCTCTGAAGTGTGGACCTCCTTCACTGATGCCAATGGCTGGGGGAGCAGTAAGTTTCGCAGAAGCTTAGCAGAGGGAATCCAGCTGACCATCCACAGTCGGAGTCGCCTGCCTGGTCGGTATGATCACCAACGCGGGTGCGTTAGTCGGAGGCGATGCCGCTGCTCATATGGCCGAGGAGTTGAAGAGCGCCTCGAAAATCCTCCCAAGGGCGATGATCTGGACCATAACCGTGAATGGAATTCTCGGATTCGTTATGCTTGTGTAAGTGGCCATGTCCTTCATTAAGAGGTCGTTTCTTGCTAAAACAGCGTCAGCACCTTCCTCTACACTCTGGGGAACCTGGATGATGACCTCGCATCGCTGACGGGTTATCCTGTCATTCAAGTGTTCGCCACGGCTACCGAGTCCAGCGGAGGCGCTGTCGGTCTTACCACAATCCTCATCATACTCAACGTGTGTGCAAACCTAACCACCATGGCCGGCTCTTCCCGTCAACTCTTCTCCTTTGCTCGAGACAAGGGTGTTCCTTTCCACCGCTGGGTGTCCCGGGTACCACCTGGGTACGACGTGCCGGTCAACGCCATCATTGTCTCCGCCTTCTGCTCATGCGTTTTCCACTGCATTAATATTGGCTCCTCGATTGCCTTCAACATCATCATGTCCATCGGCACAGTTGCATTGATCACGAGTTATATGACCTCGATCGGCAGCATAACCTGGAGGCGGATCCGTGGCCTGCCTCTTCTCCCGTCCAAGTTTTCTCTCGGCAAATTTGGCCTTGGGATCAATGTGGCCGCGCTTTGTTTCTGCGCCGTGGTCTATGTCTTCTCATTTTTCCCTCCAATGCCAAATCCACCGGCAGCGGCAATGAATTGGGCCTGTGCCGTATACGGAGGAGTGGTGCTGCTTGCTTCGGCTTACTATGTTATCCGCGCGAGACACGTCTACGTTGGACCGGTGGCTTATGTCAATAAGAATGCTTAAACACCAAATCAGTTCAGAATGGCCACATCAGGACCTTCGACAAAAGCACTGTGGCGTTCGTTGAAAAGTACAAGGATCAGGAAGAACAACGCGTTGCATGCTTGCCTCCAAGATTTTTCCGTCTAGCTGAGAATAGAACATTGGTCTCCTTGCCGTTTGGGTTAGAAAAGACTTCCGACTTGTTTCCACTCTTTCGTTGAATCTCAAGAGTTGACGAGGCTGCGGGGGTCTTCTCCATTCCCGAGAGTCTCATAAAAAAAAGCAGAAGGTAAGCCGAGCACTAGTCCGAGATAACATCCTCTTGGCATCTTGGCAGGCTTCTAACTGAAAGGATTACCTCGGACTTGAATCTTGCATCTCGCAGCTCACTGGCACCAGATGTTCCCAGGTTGGGGTCAACAGAAACGTCTCTTACTCCAATCGCGTGCGACACTGTTGCTCGGTTCGAACGAGTTGAGACAGGCATAGCGGTCATTCTGCGCGTGTGCTTAAGCGAGCCAGCAATGCATATCCAGGCGAGTCCTCTTCACCGCCCCGATAATCTGCTGAACTGCCCTTCCCCATCATATGGACAGCAGTCGGGATATTAGTAGTAGTAATAAACTCTGCTTGAATCTACCATCCGGCCCCCTTTTACCTTGCCGTATTAACCGCCACTAGCTAGTGCCATTACTATCACTGGGGCTTCGGCCGGCTAGCAGAACTGCGACATGGGCTCGTCAGAGACCCTGGCACGTCAGCTAGACGTCAACATTGAGGCCGACGAGGTTGACTCTGCTCTTGGAGACGATCTGTCGACCTACACGCACTCTCTTGCCTCTAGCCTGATCCAGAGCGTGCAGGAAAATGGTAGGGCCTACCATAGGTACAAAGACGGCTCCTACATCCTCCCCGAGGACGACCTTGAGCAAGAACGACTGGATCTACAGCACGAGATTTTTCTTCTTACATTAGGCCGAAAGCTCTTTCTTGCCCCTGTTCAAGGACCAATGCAGGAAGTCCTCGACCTAGGGACCGGGACGGGCATATGGGCGATCGGATTTGCGGACCAGCATCCCGAATCCAATGTTTTGGGCATCGATCTAAGTCCAATCCAGCCGCATGCTATCCCACCAAATTGCAAATTTGAGGTTGACGATTTTGATACTCGGTGGACCTTTAATAGAAAGTTTGATTTTATCCACGGAAGAATGCTCCTTACTGCCAGCGCCGATTTCCCAAGGCTCTTCCGACGCGCCTTTCACGCGTTGCAGCCTGGTGGATGGTTTGAAATGCAGGACCTCTACATGCCATTATTATGTGACGACGGCACCCTCGAAGGAACAGCTTACGGGACGTGGAATGACACATATATGGAAGCTTGTGCACGACTCAGAAGAGATCCCTCCTGGACTGCCAAGTACGGGGATTGGATGGTCAAAGCTGGGTTTACGGGAGTGAGACAAGAGATTTTTAGGTGGCCTGTCAACCCTTGGCCGAAGGACCAAACTCTGAAGGAAATAGGAATTTGGAATATGATCAATATGCTCGAAGGCCTGGATGGTTTCACGGTTCGACTTTGGACAACAGCACTGGGAATGACAGCAGAGGAAATCCGGATATTCCTTGTACAAGTACGAAAAGATTTGCGGGATACAAGAATTCACTCCTACTGGCCCATGTGAGTATGCCCCCTAGCCCTCTTCCACTGCGACTAATTCGTTGGTCTGAGATATGTCGTATACGGCCAAAAACCAGAGGAATGAATCAGATGAAAATGGGTGGCTAGTCTGAGCTCCTATCATTACCTCTTTTAGATCTTGAGTGCGAGTTTGAGCAAACCAAGCAGTGGATTTGGCAACAGGCCGGGGGCTGGTGAGTCTGGAGACGAAGTAGGGAACCAACAGTTCGGCAATGACCACTCGAGCGCCTCGCACTAACGCGATCAAAGGTTGGCTCCCTGACTACGAATCCCGACAGGGAGATCGTGAAGCTATAGTGATCACCCCTGAGATACATATCGAAGTATTTCACCACACATCGCGGGATTTCATTTTCCAGCCAGAATGGGAACGACTTCTGCCCGAATCGCTGGATGGTAACTACAGCATAAGAACGAACTCATATTCAGCTGCGGAAGTGCCATTACACTCTCCTTCGTTGCCTTAATTCAGCCGAGTGGATTCATGGACCACGTAGGGGACAGTGTGCTGCAACACTTATCTATGGGAGAAGGGGCGTGAAAACTCAAGCAACAGGCCAAGAATGAGGCTGTGAGCAAGTGATCGACCCGAACAGCACCCAATCACGATAGATGGACTTGCTTCGAGGACATCCGGAGGGATGAGGCGCTCAACGGCTGCAACCTTTGGGGCGGTAATGGGGTGAGGTTGTGGCGGTGTGACAAGAGCGACATATGGTGCTTCACAGGACTCTATTACACTCTCCATGCTCATGCATCCGTGCTTGGTTCATCTTCTCTGGTCAATATCGCTACCATTTATTATCAATCTACTTATTGCAGCCAAAAGTACCACCCCATCGCCATAGTCAACCCCGCAAAACCCATCATTAGCCGACACTCCGCGTTGGGGGAATCAACTCATCCGTGCGCACAGATCCCACTCACCACTCCCACCGAGGTCTTTCCATGCGACGCGACTGTTCAGGCTATGATGCGGTCCTGGTCTGCCGTGTCAATGCCGGCATAACCGCCCGACGAATGCCCAAATTCTGCCTATATGGCTGTTTTGCCGTCGAAGCTCCTATCGGGAAGTCGCCGGTACAGTGAATCGCATGTGCCGTACATCACCAGTTGACAATGCCCACATACCGCGACGCGATGTGGCAGATCAGGTTGGGATATTGTCTTGCCTGCAGATCGCTTCCGTCCATGAACACGGTGCTTGATCTTCTGCGGTGCCCTGATAAGCCTGATGTGCTTCATTTATTTAGGCTATATCGTGCACTGGCGATGGACTCGATGATGCCACAAAGTGGGAGCATAAAGCACACATGAGCGCCAAGTGTGCTCTGTACGCAGCCAGTCCTCTATTCCTCTCAGAAAGAGGACTGTACTAATATGGATACCAAGACATACGACATCACGCACTCGGAAGACGTCGCCGCCGGACGGCAGCAACAGCACGAATATGGCGACGTTCAGGGCACCGCACGCATACACGCCTCGCGCATGGAAGAGGCGCTTCTGCAAGAGAAGCCGAGACCACTACGCAAGAGTTTCCTGAAACTGTATGCCTGTATCTTCGTGGCATATTTATGCTCGGCGACCAATGGTTTTGATGCAAACACATTTGGTATGTACTAGATCACGCACTTGACGCACGGCGAAGGCACTGTGCTCACCACGAATTTCAGGCGGCCTGTCCGCGATGCCGCCGTTCATCGACTTCTTCGGCATCAACTCCAACAACCAAGGCCTGATTGCGGCACTGTACGTCATTGGCAATGTGGCTGGCTCCTTTTTCGCCGGACCCTGCTCAGACAAATACGGCCGGAGGGTGGGTATGGCCATCGGCTCAACCGTCTGCATCGTTGGCACTATTCTGCAAGCAGCTGCCCAAAACCTCGCGACGCTCGAGGGCGGAAGGTTCATTCTTGGAATGGGCGCCGTCCTCGTGCAGACCGCTGGTCCAAGCTATGTCGTCGAAATGGCGTACCCGAAGTATCGTGGACAGCTCACAGGCGGCTTTCAAGCTTGTTTCTTCCTGGGTACCATTATCTCGACGTGGCTCGAGTATGGACTGTACTACATCAACACCGAGTCGTCGTATATATGGCGACTCCCGCTGGCGGTGCAGGGTCTCCCGTCCATAATCATCCTTTGCTGCGTCTGGTTTATTCCGGAGACGCCTCGATGGCAAGTAACCGGGCAAGATATGGGCACCACTGGAAGTGGACTGACTGACCTTGTGATGACTTTGCAGGCTCCTAGCTCATGACCGAATCGAAGAGGCGAAAGCCGTGCTGGTCAAGTACCACGGTGACGGCGACCGGGACTCGGTCGTCGCGCGGGTCGAGCTCGAAGAAATGATGGAGGTCATCCGCATGGACGGCGCGGACAAGCGCTTCTGGGATTTCCGCGAACTCTTCAACACGAGGGCCGCACGATATCGCACGTTCCTGGTCACCTGCATCGCGTGGTTCGGTCAACTCGATCTCCCGCCGACGAGCTACTATTTCCCGCTCATGGCGAAGACGGCTGGCATCACCAGCGTGCACACGCAACTGTTGCTGAATGCGCTTCAGACGCCCATCATGATGGTCGCGGCTCTCTGCGGCCTGCGGTTCGTCGAGAAGTTGGGTCGTCGCAAGGTCTTGATGGTTTCCAGTGCTGGCATGTCCGCGTCGGTCGCGATCATCACTGCCTGCACCGCCAACCAGGCAGGGAAGCCTGCGGTGGGCGCCACTGGCGTGGCTTTCCTCTACGTCTTTCTCGTCGTCTTTGCCTTTGCATGGGTACGTTACGCGGCCTGCCTCGCTCATCCTGCGCTTCTGAAGGGGGCGGCTCTCGCTGATTGACCACATCTTTGCACAGACGCCCATGCAGTCGCTCTACCCAGCAGAAGTCCTGACATTTACCGCACGGGCCAAAGGCAAGTCCCTCACTCCATTGCCTTCACTTTTCACCGTTCTCTCGCCCCACATTTCCTCTCTCCTCCGCAAGGCCGACCGACTGACGAATGTACTGTACTGTAGGCATGGCGTACCTAAACTTCATGGTCAACTGCGTCAACGTGCTCAACACGTACGTGCCGCCGGTGGCGATCGCGAATTCCGGGTGGCGCTTCTACATCCTGTATGTAGTGTGGGACGCGTTCGGCGTGCTCGTTATCTACCTCTTCTTCGTCGAGACGCGCGGCCGCAGCCTGGAGGAGCTCGACGAGCTGTTCGAGGCCAAAAATCCCAAGAAGGCCAGCTTGGAGTACAAGCATGTCGTCATCAAGAGTGATGGGACTATCAAGGACGCTGCTGTCGCCGAGAGTTGAACCTCCGGAAGAGAGACGAGGCTTGTTGGAGTGGACGGACCCCCCTGCCGGTGTGCTTCTGCGAAGACGCCAGTAAATGCACGTCGCGATTCACACCAACCCCAATCCCGACGGCTCCCTGTGTCCGCTTGGGGAGATGTGCAGATGGACGAGATACGCCCGGCTGTACTCGTACAAGACCCTAGGTCGGGGCGGTCCAGATTGATGAGTGTGAACGAACAAATCAATTTAGCTCTCAGCCTTGTTTGCGTCGTGTTGCAGTGTGTTGCAAATGCAGTGCACCATCTCGACGAAAGGGCCACGGCCGAATACATAGCTAGACGAAGCAATGCTACGATGGGTCTGTTGGACGAGCGCATCACCGTGTTGTAGGGATTGTTACCCAGATACCGATATCTATTCAAACCATACTGCCAGCCAACAAAACATTGAGCAAAGCGGGAAATCTGCTATCTGGATATCAATTCATGTATCTAGTGCACTCCGTTTCTGGCCTCGACGCTGAGAGTTCTTGGTGGGACGGAACGCGGGTTGGCGCTCCCTGGCACCGGTATCTGTCTCCTTGCAAGTGGTCCGGGAATTTCTCAAATCCGTGAACCGATTATAGCTGTTATAGCCATTCAGTTCTTCGGTAACCCGAGCGCTTCCCTCCTTCCCGTGGAGGCTGGGTCAAGATATGGCTTCTCACCAACGCCCGACGCGCGTACGCCGACTCTGACTCCGTCCACCAAGTGAGTGTCAGGCTGGAGGGCGCAGTTTTGTCAGTTCAATACATGGTATATCGTGGGGTTGAGGGGTTGTGTTGAAACACTTTGGATGCTGGACAAGGCTAAGACTCAAAAGGGGGCTAGCTAAGCCTTTCCGTTCTGGCGCACAAGAGGCGTGGCCTGAAATTCAAAGACTTCCCACGTGGACAATAGCGACAATAGTGGATGACAACGTACCGTTGCGGCATGCAAAGTGCATGCATTGCTCCAGATGGCACAAGCCTGCTTCGTCCAATGCATTCTTGCCACACAGTCGTGATTGCGCGTGATAAGCCTGAGGACATAGTCGCGAATAATCTGATCCTCATAGTTATAGACATCGTTGATTCGTGTGACGTGTAATCCAACGCCCGCGAAAAGGGATTTCCATCCAGTGACTGGGTGGGTGCGGATGACGGGATGCACAGGGGCGAATTTATCGCCGACATTCAAGGGCGAGCCGCGGGGCGACATTAGCTCGTAGCCGCCGGCATCGGATGCAGATTTGAAAACAGGTTGAGCGCAGGTGGCAGTCAGAGTCTCGAGGAAAGCGGCGAAGGGTGGAGAGAGGCGCTCGTAGCTTAAGAGCAACGGGTGTCAATGGAATCAAAGGGAGCAGCAATTGGGCAGAGATCATACAGTTCATAGCCAGACACCCAAAGTGTGTCTCCACCAGATGGTGGTGTATCTTGCATGCGCAAGAAGCTGAAATCTGCAGGACATTCTTCGAAGAGACCTTTGACACGTCACTGTCAGCCAAATGTGTCCGGAACTGTCGGTGCGAAAAACGAACAATCACTGTGCCATTCCCGGCTCAAGTCCTTCGGCTCGCTTGTGCTGTTCGGTCGATTCTTCATTGTTGCATATAATTTCTTCATGGCTTCCGAGTTGATAACATAGCTGTCTCCTCGTTAGTACCCATGGCCCTCGCATGTCAAGGAGGCTCACATATTCTCATCCGTGGTCCCGTCTGCCATGGGAATGTTGTTGGGGTCATTATAAAGAGGATGGACGTGCAAGCCATGGTCCTCAGGTCTGCCCGTTAACTTGCCCAACAGATACGTGATTCTCTTCTGCTCTTCAACGGTTAAGTCGTCTTGAGGCGCGCGAAAGAAAACAACACCGCGCTCGCAGATAGTGATGGCAAGATCTCGAATCTGATCGTCTGCGTTAGGGGCATTCAACATGTCCTTGAGTCTTGCAGTAGGATATTCACGCCCAATGATGGGCGTCACGTCGACATATTCGAGATGGTCGATTGACCCTGAGTTTTTCAGCGGGGTTCGCCGCAACTTCATGTGTGACATGGAACCCATTGTTCGTTTGAGGGTTGGCGGCGAGAAATGTGCTATTTTATATCCTAAGTTGTTTCCGTTGCTCCTGCAGTATCCGATTGAGGCCTGTTTGCTGCCACCATGAAAAAACCAGCTCTCAGGATATCCCCCTACCCTTAATATCAATAGATGATCGACATCGTGGGGCTAGAAAGGAAATGTCTCTGGCATGAACTTGAAGGTGGAGTCTTCCACCAACATTGATGTGGGGAAGTTGTTTACCATCAGATTGGAGTAGAGAGTTTTCCCCATGGGGATTGTTCACGGTGTTCCATCTGCCGAAAACATCATGTACGAAAGGATGCTTGGCTGCGATCCCAATCGCACATGTGTCTGAAGAGGAGTCGACCTAGCCATGCTCAAAGCGTTGGATGAGACAAATGTTGGAGCGGGCACTGCTGACTTGTAATGGAGCAATTAGCCATTAGGGCTGCAAGATTTTCGGATGGGACGGCCACTTTCCGACGGAGGCCTGGCAACAAAATACAACTGCCGAGACGTCTGCGACTGACTGCTCGCTCACATTGCGACTCGGCTCGTGGTTGATCCTGATGTTGTTTGGAGAAAGCCGACACGAGAGCCACACAATGTGGGATTGCGAGGTTGGCATACATATCATGTGACATCGCGTCATCCCTCGTCGCGCATGTCACGCTTTGCACGCTCTGCACGCTCCACTGCGCTGCTGCCTTCGTTGCCCCTCGTCTATATCACTGATCGTGATGATACGGAGGAACCGAGTGTCTGTCTCCCAGCGTGTATTTGAATGTCTCGACCTCTTCATGCGGTCCTTAGTCCTTAATCCGTCGTTGCTCTCAAGATGGTCTTCACTGACAGTGAAGACGACGATCTGGATGCCCCGCGCATCCAACGAGAAGGTGCTCATAACGCCGAAACCGTCGCAGACAAGGTAAACAGAAATTTAAATGAGATGACTGATGCCAGTTCAAGCACAGCCAGCGAGGCGGCAATTTCAGACCGCGCAATAGGGTACGACGATCGAAATACACAAAAGAGACCTCGCTCTGAGCCTGCTCTAGCTAGACATATTCTCCACGATTCCGCCGATGAAGAACTTGAGCGGCTTGAGCAGGAATGGAGGGAAGATGGAGAGGAGATGGTCAAGAGCACAACACCAAAGAAAAAAAAGAGAAGAAGGATGACCGCTACAATTGCCAACGTTGTCGACAATGAGCTTGCTCCTCGTTCGAAGTCTAAAAAGGCGACAGGTACAACAGGAGTCGGAAGACGTGGGCCTACCAGGAAACGCCGGAAAGTAAGAGAGTACGGCAACTCCGACTCGGACGAGGATCTCATGGAATGGACCATGCCGGACCACGTCCGAAATCGAAGAGCAAAATTTGACGAGCGAGCAAAGCAATTGAAAGAAGGTGGCTTGGCCCTGCCGCCCACATATGACAATGTGGAATTCTCGGATACTGAGAGACTGCAGGAGCTGAGAGAGCGGCCGGACTTTCCCCCATCAAGCGCGTCTCGAGAATACAAGGATATTGAACTGCGGTATTCACTTGGTCTCATCCCTGCTCCAATCGCACAATTCTTGCGCGAATACCAGGTCAAGGGCGTGGCGTTCATGCATGAACTTTTTGTCTATCAGAAGGGCGGAATTCTTGGTGACGATATGGGTTTGGGCAAGACTGTACAAGTGATTGCATTCTTGACCGTAGCTTATGGCAAGACTGGGGATGAACGTGATCAGAAGAGAATGAGAAAGATGCGACGAGCGAATCAGTGGTACCCGAGAACTCTCATTATCTGCCCAGGTACGCTCATGGAGAACTGGAAAGATGAATTTCGCCGTTGGGGCTGGTGGCATGTCGATCTCTACCACGGTGGTGCATCGCAGAGACACGATGTGTTCTTGCAAGCACAAGCGGGTATGTTGGAAGTCATGATCACGACCTACCACACCTATCGAGCCAACAAGGGGGAAATCAACATGATTCAGTGGGACTGCGTCGTTGCTGACGAATGCCATATCATCAAAGAACGAAAATCAGATACCACCAAAGCGATGACCGAAATTAACGCACTCTGCCGTATCGGTCTCACAGGAACCGCAATCCAGAACAAGTACGAAGAACTATGGACACTTCTCAACTGGACCAACCCTGGCAAACTTGGACCGATATCGACGTGGAAGAATTCTATTTGTATACCGCTCAAGTTGGGCCAAAGCCACGATGCTTCCCAGTATCAACTGGCAAGAGCCAGGAAAACGGCAAAGATGCTCGTTCAGAATCTTCTGCCACAATTCTTCCTCCGACGGACAAAAACCCTAATCAAAGACCAACTGCCGAAGAAATCAGATCGCGTGGTATTCTGCCCTCTCACAGTGACTCAGGCAAAAGCGTATCAAAATTTTGTCGACAGTGACATCGTCCAATACATCAAAACAAGCGGTGATCCCTGTACGTGTGGAAGGAAGAAAAAAGCGGGATGGTGTTGCAGGATGACGCTGGACGACGGCAGCACATGGCAAAGCTGGGTGTTTCCTGCAATCGCAAACCTTCGAAATCTATCGAATCATCTGGCGATTCTTATCCCACAAGGATCGGATCCAATGGACAAACAAGCGAAGGATCTCGAGATGCTCCAGATCGCAATGCCCGATAAGTGGAAGGAGATCTACCAAACCCGTGACAGCATTATGCATACTGGCAACCCAGAGTATTGCGGAAAGTGGCGAGTGCTGAAGAGACTCCTCACCTTCTGGCATGAACAAGGTGGTAACAAGGTGCTCATCTTCTCGCACAGTGTCCGCTTGCTTAGGATGTTGCAGAACTTGTTCATCAGCACAAAATTCAATGTCAACTATCTTGACGGAGGCATGCAATATGAGGATCGGTACGCGGCTGTCAAAGAATTCAACAGCGACCCGACACAATTTGTCTTTCTCATCAGTACTCGGGCCGGTGGTGTTGGATTGAATATTACGTCGGCCAACAAAGTTGTCATTGTAGATCCGAATTGGAATCCCAGCTACGACTTGCAAGCGCAAGATCGAGCTTACAGAATTGGTCAGACGAGGGACGTAGAAGTATTTCGCCTGATCAGTCAAGGTACTCTGGAAGAGATCGTGTACGCTCGCCAGATCTACAAGCAGCAGCAAGCCAATATTGGATACAACGCAACATCTGAGCGACGTTATTTCCAAGGTGTGCAGGATAGCAAGGATCAGAAAGGGGAGATCTTTGGATTGAAGAATCTTTTCGCCTACCAGAACGAGAATCAGGTCCTGCGCGACATCGTGAACAAGACCAACATTGCAGAGTCGAAAGCCGACGTCCGGGTCGCAAATCTTGAGCTTGAAGAGCACGAACGCGACACTGATGCCGAAGAAGACGCTATCAAAGATGAAGGTGGTGCGCCACGTCGAATAAAAGCTGAGCCAGATTCGGAAGACGCAGCAATGTCCCAACTCGCGGCTGAAATCATTGGGGAGGATGGCCGATCATCTCGCTCCCGCTCAAAAACACCTTTCGGTGTAACGAAATCGGCTGTCAAAAAACATGATCCAGTCCAAGCCATCCTCTCCTCTGTTGGTGTGTCGTATACGCATGAGAACAGTGAAGTGGTTGGCTCTTCGAAAGTCGAGGCGCTCCTGTCTAAACGAGCCGAAGAAGCCGCAGCCAACAACAGACACTGGGCCACCCAAGAGCAACAAGCCAAAGTATTCTTGGATGACGCATCACAATCCCGACACAGCGGTGAGGACGAGGATATTTACGACTCCGTCTACGACCATGCATATCACGAAGACCAGCACGACGGAACTCTCACGCCCGACGGTAGCAACGTGCGATACAGGTACCGCCCACCTCAAGCCGTCCGGAAACGACAATTCTGCAGCATGGCCAGATGGGCCGGCTACGGAGACGACGTGGTGTCCTTTGCGTTGGTAGTGGAGAATTGGACGCAAGCGCAACGAAGAGAGTGTCTCGATCGATTCTATCGCTATAGGAGAGATGTGCTTCGTGGACTTGTCAAGTCCGAGAGCTCTAGTGGGAATGTGAAGAAAGAAGAAGCCAAAAAGGAAGACCAAGAGGACGTCAAGATCAAGAGAGAGGAAATGCAGGTGAGAGAGGGAAGTGTCAAGGCCGAAAACGACACTGAGCAAAACGACGCGTTGAAGCTCGGGGCAGACACAGGACCTAGGAAAGAGCCGGACACAGAGGCTGTGGAGATTGAGACGGCAAGTGAAGATGAAGACGATGAGCTTTGATCTGACCGGCCCTAGCCCCCTTGGAAAAGGGGTAAACGAAAACCTTCCCCGAGGACTACCACCACCATAATGTGACGATTCACGATGTTGATGACCCTGAGATACCCCCTGGACCATCCGTCCTAATTGATGCTTAAAACCGTTTAACCTTGGAAATTGACTCCCCAGCGGTGGTGAACAGCACCTACCTAAGCACTTTGTTCCGCAGACATAAAGTCAGTGACCATGAAAGTAGGAGTTCCATGTACACAATGCATGACTTCTAACGCCAATGTCTCTGGAGTGATTGTGAGCTTACGTCTGCCCGTGCCAATAGAGTCCAGCCTGGCTGGTGCTCACATAACGCCAAAAATACATACCTGATCCTTGTATCCTCCGGCTTGGTTCTTCGCGCCAAGCATGTCCTTTTGTTGACATCAACAACACCCAAGGGCTGCAGTCCGCGTCGTGTACATTCGAATTCAGGCTGCATATCTAGCTCTGGATTCTGTTCAGTGGCGCGCGCTTCTGCCATGCCGCAATCATGTCCGACTAAAATTATTCAAGATTGGCTCCAAAAGCAGTGCACCAAGCTATAAACCCGTGAACGCGCTCGAGCCCCGTTGCGATGACAGTTCCCAGCACCAGCATTTGAACATCGGAACTATCACATCGCCAGGTCACAACGGCAGTATCATACTCGGCAGAGATGAAGAGCATTTTTTGGAAGATTGGAGGGAAAGAAGAAGCACGACGAAGAGCGGAGTGCATTGAAGCCCAACAATGCCAAAGGATATGCTCCGCCAGCATCGACTCCCCGCCTTGCTCAACAACCTGCTTCACAACCCATTCCGCAAAACCAGAATTTCGGGTCTTTGGCTTCTCAAAGGCAGAATCGAAATGTTCCTCAACGACCTAGCCCATCTGGAACAAATACACTTCGTGTCACAGCCTCTTCTCCACTTCACGAGATTAGCAAGCAACTGGCACAACCAGCGTCAACTTCAATTGACGATCCAAGAGCTCTGATCCAGATTAAACCACGTGCACTTTGCCTGGTATGCTGTAATTTTGACCCAACCCAAGCTCCACCAGATGGCAGCTTGCTTCAAAGACCATGGGCCAAAGCGGAGTACAATATCCCGGATGGAACGCCATTCGGAAAGATAGTGGTCGAAAAGTCAGAACAGTTACTTGAGGCTGCCAAAGGCGGATGTCCCTACTGCGTTATGGTTGAATCAATGCTTGGGGCATCACATCCTGGCTGGGAGACCGACAACGCTCTTTCTAGCGTCCGGCCTGCCTGTAGTTGTGCGCTTGACCTTTGGTGGAACGTCCACCGTGCCGATGACGAGAGAACAAATTCTCAGGCTTGGTTTCGAGTTACCAGAGGGGCGGAATATTGGGTACCTCATCGAGGTTAAGGACCGTTCGAAGCCGCCCATAGAGGTTGAGATCTATCGACCTGTTATTCCAGATAACCAGCTCACAGTTAGTGGTACGTCATTCGGCTCAAGTAGGAAGACATGTGTATGAGATAGGCGCTAACGGTCATGTCCAGATCTTGCTTTGGCACCCTTTGTGCAGCATATGGGCTTTGCAGAAGAGATCGCAGAACACTCTGGGGATCAACAGTGCTTTGACTTCATCAAAGAGAAGGTGGGGACTTGTATCAAACAACACAAATGTGGAAAGGATGGGGGTCTCCCCGTGCTTCCCGATCGTGTCATCTGGATCGAAGCCAACAATGCAAGCCGCATTCAGCTTTTGGAGCCGAAGAACATTTGTGCACCGTTTATCGCCCTCAGCTATTGTTGGGGCCCTGTGGGTCCAAATACGTATCTCACAAACGCGCGAAACCTGGAGGCGAGGAAAGCTAGCATAGAATTCAATGATTTGCCGCCTCTCTTTCAAAACGTGGTCGACGTGGCTCGCTCACTTGGGATTGAATACATCTGGATAGATCGACTCTGCATCATCCAAGGAGATGACGAAGACTTTCATTCCCAGGCGGCGAAGATGGGAGAGATCTATGGAAACGCTACTCTGACTATTGCAGCGGCCTCTGCTACCACCGAAAATGACCGTATCTTGGTTCCAAGGGACGAAAAATGGTGGCCGTTCGATCTGAACCTGGATTTTGATGGAATCGGCTCTTTGAATCTTCGCTTCCGGCGGCGATCACATGCCTTGGACACGGAGGCCTCAGGGGGTGATTATGGCAAGATGTCTACTAGAGCTTGGATCTGGCAAGAACGTCTCCTGGCTGCAAGGACCCTCTTCTTTACTCCTACAGCACTGAGGTTCGAATGCCGTTGCCATTCTTTCTGGGAAGGGTTCTGTAAAGGCCGCACAGGCTTGTCTTGGTCCGCCCAACTCGACAACATTACACACGTTGCTTGGACAAGATTGGTCGAGGAGTACATGGGCAGGGATATCACCCGACCTTATGACCGGCTCCCAGCCATGGGCGCCGTTATGAAGCGCATTGAAAAGAGCACAGGATGGTCGCCTTTCTGGGGTTTGTGGACAAACGCAGTTGCCGAAAGTCTCGTTTGGAAAGCTCGCGCGAGCGGTTCCAGAAACTGTCGAATGAATCCAGGCCACTACGCTCCGACTTGGAGTTGGGCCAGTGTGGACGGTCCGATCTCTTACACATCTGCCAGACCACGGGGCGAATTCGATAAGAAAGATCCAATACAGTGGGATCTGGAATATCGGGGTCTTAATGAGATTTCAGGCTTGATCAGGATATCTGGTTACATGATCCTCGTCGAGCTGGACGGTATAATCGAACGCAATGAGTCTCACGGAAACAGTCCAACCGAGGAAGAGAAATTCCAGTACAAGTACAAGATAAAGTGCGAAAATGACCAAGGCTATGCAGTTACGCCCGACGTCGCTTTGAAGCCATGAAGCGGTAACATCAATGGCCATAGTGTGTCGACTGTTGTCCAAGTTCCATATGGAGAAACGGCTCCAGTGCAATCTTGGACCGCCCACTGCGCTTGCCTTTTGGTCGGTAAGTGGAAGTGGAGATCTCTTGTTCTCTTGTTGGGCCGCTCGATGCGGGAACCTGGTGCCTGGGAGCGGGTTGGACTGGGTGATGGAACACTGTTACCTTCTATGTTCTCGATGTGTGAGAGACAGATTATCGACAACGTTTGATGTCTGGCTGGTTTGCTGTGTGCATCTGTAATAAGCGAGGTTTCCAACACCGGGGCCTAAGATGGTAGAGATTTTGGCATCCACCATGTGTGAATCTATCGAGGTGATCTTGCCATCACCAGAGGCAATGTGGTAGACTGTCACGGGAATGGGATACAGTAATGTTTGCTCCTACGACAACAACAAGGGTTGAAGCCCCTGAGAGTTTGATTGGTAAAAAGAGCGGAAGCGGACGCCAAATACGAGCGCTCTGCGACATTCACTCTTTGCTTCTTGAATGGCGTTTTCAAAATGCCTTGTTGGCGGCAGCATCAACTATGACATCTATTACCGTGTCCGAGATCTCTCGCGTGGATCTCCAAGAACTCGAAATCGCTGCGTCGGCTTCGAGCTCCTGTTTTCTTATAACCGGATTGAAGCACTTAATGTCACATCTACAATCGCTGTTCCCGGTAGTCCTGCCCTTTGTTTGGCTCGAAGGGTTTCTCGATAGCTGAAAGGGGATTCTGACCTTATCTATATTGCTCAGTATGCAGCCCGCCATCTCGATAATCCTCTTAGCCCAGGTTTTCGTGCGCTATATATCATATATCCTTCATTCGATATTCGTTCAACTAATGTTGTGACCGACTGAATGGTGTCCGTAAGCTCCTCTCGTTTATTGACCTTAGCTCCACTAGAAACGGGCTCGAAGCATTCACTATAAACATCGAGATAATGAAGAACACCGCGATATTCTATCGTGACGAGGCGAGGAGGCCAAGACTAGATTATATTATATGTATGGTTAAGATGGGAAGATGTACTATAAGAGGATGGGAAGGTATACCGACCACTATTTAGTCTTCTCCATCTACTCTTTCCCTTCTTCTCTTTCCTCACTGTTAGAGATTTCTTGGCAAAGTAGGCAGAGTCTAGCGATAAGTGATAGTAGATACCCCTATAGTAAATGGTTCGTACTGTACACGACTCCAAAGACAAGAGAAGAGAAGACAGGTTGGGCCTCTCCTGCGAGGAGCGTGAAGTGTACTAGTACCCAGTAATAAGGGGGCGCTCCCTGAGTTCGTGAACCTCCCTGGCTGGTGGCTTAAGTGGACACCCGCCGCCCGTTGGCCCACTAGCCCGATATTCAGCCGAATCCGCAACAGAAGTCTTCTCTTAACTGCCTCATGGCTTCAACTGATTCAGACACTACGAGGTAAATGATCTCGCCTCAATGTCCGTTATTGGCTCCCATAGTTATTCCCAACAAAAACTACAAGCACTGCAGCGTAGCTGGAAAGCGGTGAGCTATAATCCAAATACAATATGAGGAACTTACGCTGCCGTCGCCACAAAAACTTCGAAATTCCGGCTCTTGGTTACGAAGGCGATCGCCGAGGCAAAGACCAACGTAAAACAGGCAATGAGTGTCAAACGGTATTCTTGTCCCCTGGTGTAGGACAAAGCAAAGAGTGGGCCAATGAGGATGATGACGCTGATCAGGGTTAGGAAGCATCTGACCACCCGGCGGATGGTTGTCGATGAGTAGAAGCGCACTTCTTCACCAAAGAGTGGCCGATTCTGATGTTTCTGAAGGGAGGAACGTCAGCTCGATCCCTCCAAAGGTATGACTTTTCACCTTTGTCACAAAGACCCGAGAGAACTTCTCTTCCGCCCACTTCTCGAAAAGGTGGTAGTCTTCGACTTGGAGTCCCAGACTCGCTATGTCATCACGTTCATCGATCCAATGTGATTCTTCCTCGACGACAGGTTTGCGGCCGTCCATCCAATGACTGACGCTGTCGGTATACATGTCTCGCGCTTTTTCCATTTTCAAGCATTGTGAATGCATATACAGCCGCTTCTCTGGAACCGGTTAGAACTTTAATCAAACACAACTGCCGACTTTGGCATACGATATTGATGCATCCTGCGCTCCAACACTGTCATGATGGCTTTTCGTTCGAGGTTCTGATCATTCCTTCGCGAGTGCAAAGAGTACATATCTATGGCGTTCCCGGAATTCCAATCGGCCGTATCCAGCGCCCTGAGCCTTTGCTCTAATTCGCTCAGTTCGTCTTGCATATGCAATAGAACTCGTATTGACATCTTGTCAAATCTTCTGAAAAGACAAAATACTTTGTCGCTCGCCATGAACTCTGCGAGTGAAGCATATCCAGCTACCCGCGGACGTGGCGTTGTCATCTCGGTACCCGGTCCCGCTACTGCTTGACCATGAGAACGGAACGGACAGCAGAGATGCTACTCACTATTCGGATCCTGAGACGGCGAAGTTTGTATCTGGCCACCAATTGTCGCAGGTGGTGGAGATGATACGCCTTGCGTGGCTCCGGGGTCCGGCACGCTGGAACCATTGGAAGCTGCATGTCCGCTCTCAGTATCCCGAGAAGAGCGAATGTAAGCTGCAGGCTGCAACTTGTCAGCCAGCTCATATCGCCGGAATTTGTGACAAACTTGCTCTCGCAAATCGTCGAACTCTTCCAGCGCCTAAGCGTAAGGGTTCTGGAAGAGGGTCGACGTTGTTCAAGGCAGTCTTTTCGAGCCCCAAGACATTCTGCACTGGTCTTTGTCATCACTACAGCCGGCAGTGGTAGAATCTGGCCCATTCGCACCTTGCTGCTGATGTGATCGACTTGCGAGTCTTGACGGTTCCTCATATCCTGACATTTGCATTGATTCTGGTGAAAAGACCGAAAGCCGGATCGGACGGGGAGAGGAGATCTATTTGGCCGCATTCTGTCGTACATTTTGGAACAGCCATCAAGTGTGGCGTTGAATTCTGGTGGTTTCGAATTTCGTGGCGCTGCATTATTGATGGCTGACACAGGGGAAACACCCCCCAAGCCCCAATCATCCAGGGGGGATGCGCGCCCAGCCATCTGCAGCTCTCGTATACCCAATAACTGATATGTCGACTCCTGAGCGAATACGCAAGTTGACAGATATGGAGCATAGTCCAGCCATTTTCAGCTCACATGCTGAGACATCTCGACGCCACCAGAGTCGCCCTCGAAGTCGAACAACACAAATGGTCATCCCAGGACGGATCTCAACCACACTCCTTTCTTTTCCCTTCTCGCGAATCCGCAGCCTTTCTGGCCTCTTCACCCGATTTCTTTTGAAATCTCAGTGTGATAACGATCGGGAGCCAAGTCAAAATGTCGCTCCAGGCGACTACTCGGGATGGAGAAGGCTATGAGGACCCTTCCAGGTTGATGAGCAAAGAGGACGTACGCGGAAGTAAGAAGTCGATCTTCTTCTAGGACCTCATCTGACGAAATCTAGTCTGTGAAGTGGTCGGGATTCCGAAAGAGTCAATCAACAACCATGAGCCGATGCCTGAGCCATTGCGGCTGGGTGCTGGAAGAGTTCGGGCTTTCGACAAAGGCAGGTAACTGCTCTACATTGAATTCTGGAGACGGAAACTAACGGCGAATCAGACCAAAAGCTTTCGTTCTTAGAGAAGCCACTTAACCTGGCCGGAAAACAAGAAATTCTCTCCACGCAACCTTTTCAGCACGCGACGAATAGTCCCCGAGCAAGTGCATGGCCGTTCAAACCAAGTGAGTTCTATTGATGTGCCACGGAGTTCGTTCTAATTGTGGTATTGCCGCCCACGACTTCAAAATCTCAAGCGGTGAAATTACCAAAAGGGCTGCCTGGTCATGGTACCGGACTGGGATCTTGTACGAGAAGAGTGCTGAACACTGGGTCCTGGAGCGTGCTCGCCCACGTGCTTTGACGTATCGACTGGCGACAGTAGGTCATTGACTACTATTTCAACTCTTGTTCGATAATGCTCACGATCCTCAGGATCAAATCAATCAATCCATCAAGACCTTGAGGGAGAGGGGGCTTAGGGCAAAGAGCCATGCGCTGTCGCTCTACCCTACTCTACTGATGCACGAGAATATTGATGCTCCAACATGGGCAGAAAGATTTTCCAAAAGGTATGCATTCGTCCAAAGACTTGGCCAATCCGTGTGTAACACCAATTAGTGATTTCGATTACTACGCAGAAATGGCGCGAAACAAGGAGCTAGTCGACAGGGCTACCATGGCAGAGCTCTACAAGGTAATGGCGCATGAGTATGCCATGGAGGGCATGAACGAGTACCTGGAGCCAAGAGAAGCTGAGCGTGCGAAAGGTCTGGGGAACCTGTTGCAAGCCATGTATCAGACGCTGATCCTTCAAAGCTCCAGGAGCCGGATTCCGAACCAACATGGAATGTTTTATAGAGGCAGCGCGAGAACAAGGAGGAGTACTTGCACTTTGGGAGCATGTGGCAAAATTTCACCATTCTGATGAAGGGTTTCAAAAGTGGTGGACCCGAGCTGCATTTGCTCGAGGACATGCTGAATGGTTGTTGAAAGAGCCTTACAAGAAATATAGCGAGTGCTCACCCTTCGCATTGAAGTCAGCATACTGATGATCTTTACAGACGGACAATCTAGCAACCCTCAAGATCCCATCGAGCCATGGAGACTCTGGCCTCCAAGATCTCCTCATCAGTCCACCCAAGATTGCGTACCAAGCTCCCTGCAAGGCCTGTGGGGTCCCAAGGACTTCTATCGGACAACTTACTGGTTATCTCATCACGCTTTGACCGAGGCAGAATATGAGTCAACGGGCGGGATGCCTCTGTCCAGTCTATTTGGCGCTCCGGTACGTCTGAAGTTCATATGTACGAGTCGATATCTCTCATCTACGGCATAGAGAAACATTCAACTCACTCGTGAGGCAGGATTTTGTCTTTTTAGAGACCTCAGAAATGGGATGGGCACAGGAGCTTTTTGGCCTGTTTTCCGACTTTGCCGTTCGGTCGGCGGTCGAGAAGCAGACGTTGTTTAGGCAGAGGTACCTCCGAAAGGGAGTCTACGACACACTGCCAGCTTCGGCTAGCGACTACCACAAAGCTTTGGCAATCTGTGCGGATGACGTTGTATACGAACGTGCCATAGAGCTGACTCTCCAAGTGAACTTGAAAGCCAATGTGGATATCAAGAACAGCCCTGCTGAGAGAGACATTGAGAATCTCAGGAGAGACATTCAGTTGATCACGGCCCGGAGAGCGACAATGAGTCGACGAGAATCAAACCTCTGCGGGTTCCAGAACGCCGTGTCCGACATTATCCACCATTACTCAGACCGAATCTGCACTCCGAGGACTCAAGCAAGCTTCATGGTCATCCTCGCTCTGCAATTGGAACTTCGACGACTTCTGTCCCCTTGGTTACTGGTCAAGGCATTCATGAGCGTAGGGGGCAAGTGGAAATGGGGTCTCAGCCCACCCGGACAGCCAGTCCAGGCACCACAGCCGAATTCTGGACTCGAAACTATCCCTTCATTTGTTGAAATGGGTCGCGTCATGTTCATAGATCTCAAACTCGAAACGATCCGCGCGCAGATTCTACGGAACGAGACTTTACAAGGCGATGAGCTGCAAATGGCGTTGTGTTTCCGCCGGTTTCTGGAGACGGGCCAGGAGGCGCAGATGCCGCTCATGGCGATGGGTCTGCGGAGACGTCGCGACATTACTATTGTCGAGTACAATGAGACATCAGCTATCAAATGTGCTGAAGGCTGCACGTGTTCGTTGAGTACGCAGCAGGATCGGAAAAAGATGCTTGCTGCGAAGAGGAAAGGCAACGACCCAGCGATCGTAGGGGAGCGAAGGAAGATCCAAGCCTGGTTTGCTCGTGTTGACGGACCGCTGAAGGCGACAGATCTGGGAATTCCAGGAACTCACGCCTTGCTCTCAGCCAACAGAGGCTTTCCGCGACGGCCAGGAACCTCGCTGTCCTCAGATTCATCGCCATTTCCGTCATCGGCATCGTCCATATCGTCCATCTCCTCATCCTCGCTGACCCCATCCAGCCCAAGACCTGCAATCAATCAACGGCCCCAGCCGCCTCATACGTCTCCCCACCACGAGCGTGCCTTAGCTTTACGCGCAGCCAGGTCAAGCGGCGCCCTAAACTTAACGAATTCAACCAACTCACACCAAAGCCTCCCACCGACAGCCTCGGCGTCCCCACGGAGCCCGACACGAGTTCGAAACACTCCTATGTGGACATTGCAACCTCCTCCCCTCCCAGCAACCGAACTCAGGCATAGCCGTATCCTCCGTTCTTCCCCTTCAGTCCCCATAATGCAGAAGTCGCCAGTGACATCGAATGCTCCACCGCCTCTGCCACAGTCACCACAGAGACAACAGCCTCCCCGCCAATCTACGCTCGTGGAAGCAGGGAGCTCCAATGTCGAAGACGGGGGTACCCGGCGAGGGAAGCGGAGGAGTATCTTCGGCAACTTGTTCCGGCGGCGGGATCGCAAAGGCTAGAGCGAGTTCACATTGGTTTCCCTTCCCTTTACCTTGGCGCAAAATATTGAGCTTGCTTGGAGTTGATTCGTTCTCTACAGGTATGGCATGACGAGTTGGAGGATGGTAATGACGGGAATACATACAAGCAGAGTATGGGTTAATGGGAAATGGAGTTGAAGGAGAGAGCCATTTCTTCCCGACGGATTGGACCTTGACCCGCAGTACACGAAGTAGGGGCATTCCGGCTGATGTAATGACTGATTAGTTAACTGCTTTCTACATGGCCTCACATCGAACTATTGTGACTTCATAGAGATGTATGACTGGATCCGTTTGACTAAACCCTGATGGCCCTCCTGAGCTTGGTTGCCTCTACTGTATGAATGCATGCACGCCGAAGAAGCCAAGCAAATCCGCATGACTGAAGAGAAGAGGGCCAGGGAGAAGTCTAGGAGGGAAGCGGGAGACAGCGACGGTTAAGCCTAGTAGAGGCAATGCTTACAACGGCAGCCCGAAGCCAAAGTGTGAGGACAGGAGCCACTTGAAGCGTAGCTATCCTGGTTGCGGCAAACCCGGCCACACTGAAAGAAAATTTGCTAGACCAAGCACCCCAACAAGGCCCCACGTTCCCTAGACGACATGTTCGCTGCCAACGCCGAGGACAACAAGGCTACTAATCGGTATGGGTGGTGCTACGGAAACCAACCTCACCACATTCGGAGATGCGGTACTCTCATGCCGACACCCCAGGGACGGCTCCCTCCCCAGGGCTCCATGTACACGCAGCTGACACTTCGCGGAGGTTTCGAGCGTGGAGAGAAATAGGGGGTTAGAACGAGCTCCTCCTCGAGAGTACCGAGTATATAGACGGCCGAAACGGGCCCCTCCTCGAGATTTATTAGAGGAGGCCGTAACGATCGGAGATTAAGATGGTGATCGGGGCGCCACGGAAGAGGCGAGGCAGATTTTCAAGGAGCCGGGGGGGAATCGATGTAGAAATTGAGGACGGGGAGTCTCAAGCAGGTTGCGATGGCGGTGGGAGAGAGGCAAAAGAGGTCGAGAGGGAGGGGTTCTCTATAGTAGCTCAAGAGCTTCACCGCTATCGTCTAGCTCACCCGTCCAAGCCAGTACTCGTTGTGCTGACCAGAGGATATCTCGCATTTATTGAACTTGTTGGCCCTTCCCCTGCAGATTTTGCTGGTTGATGCAGAGCGGAACGATCCAAGGAGCGTGCGCACCAAGTCGACTTGATGGATGGCAGGGCCAGGCTGGGTCTCCCAGGGGCCGGCTTAGGCCTTTGCCGCTAGTCTCTTTTTAGCCGCACTAACCCGTGAAGGACGTCGACCATTTAACCTCCATTGACCTAGCACCGAATAAGGCCCCGCTCGCGACTCGCGAATTCCTTCTCTCTCTTTAACGTCTCTCTTCTCGTATCCTCCCTTCCCTCCCCTCCCCTCACCGTTACAGATATAAATTCTCTCTCGCCATCTATACTTTTACCGCGCTACCATTACCCTCCCGTCTCTACGCTACTCGACGTAGTTTCGGCTAACGCTATGCGTTATAAGGATAATGGTGACGCTATCAGAGACCTACGCAACGCAGTAGGTACAAAGGAATTGGAGTAGCTGAATGCCTTGTTCTATTCACGTAGCCCTATTGACAACGACTTAACGCTTAAGAAAAAGAAAGAGTTCTCTCTCAGCCGATTTAGGTGAGAGGAGACTCTTATAGCTTCCTCTCTTTCTATCACGTAAAAAGAGTAAGGCAGCGTTAACCGATAGCCTTATGCCTTAACCGTCCTTTACCTTATTCTTTCCTTTTCTTTCTATACCGTTCACTCGATTCGGGTGGAGAGCGTAGAGTACTTAGGGATAACGGTGGGTTCGTGATAGTTACTTTCCCTCTAAAAAGCGACTCGCTCTCGAGTCGCTACGAGTATGAAGACAACCTTAATCCATCGTATAGATAGGCCGTCTGTTAAAGATCCTACTTGGATCTGACTGGGTCAGGGTTCCTAGTAACAATCTGAATAGTATGAACTGGTTGTGGATCACGCAAGGTATGAGCAGTCACCTGTTACTGAGAACTGTATAGTCCAATAGGTAACATGAGTTGGCTACGAAGAGAGTGTAAACTATCTAGGGGGAGTGAGCGTAGCTATATACCCGTAAGGGCCGTCCC